CTTTTGCCCAATCCCATTTGTAAAGTTAATAGCCAGTAAAATACGTTCAAATCAAAGATGCTTTATGGTTTAAAATTTGCTATTAATAAATGCATAATATGAATGTCTAATAAAATGGGTAAAGGGAGATTGGACAGACATTTTAATTTTTTAAATTAAATGTTATTTATGAATATAAAGCACAAAATTTGTAAATATTTTTGTATCTATGGATAAAATCTTCGTAAAACTAGTCACAACTAGGGACAATATGTTAGTCAATATATTTTAAAAAGAAATTGAAATGAAATTGCTTAGTTTAAGGGATAATAATTATTTTAATATAGCTGTTTTTGGAATTTTGGATCAACCCCGATCAAAATGAAACTAATCCCGATGAAATTAAAACAAAATAAATAAAATAATAATTATCGTCCTCTTTATGTATTAACCTCTAAGAAATCTATTTGATTGTCAAGTTCAATTACCTTTTAATTCGTATTACACCTACACAAACTAGTATTCTTGTGAAAATGTTATCTATTTCCAATTATTACAATATTCTGGTTGGGATCAGTTTAAATTTCGATCGGCCAAAATTAAAAAAAAGTAATTTTTCTAAAATTTGGCATTTTCATTTTAATTTCTTTTTAAAATGTGATTGTCTAGTATATTCATTATTGTATAGCTGTGACTTGTTTTTTAAATATATTATCCATATAGGTTTCCAAAATATTCGCAAATACTGTGTTTTATTTTCATAAATATTTTTTTAGTAAAAAAATAAATAAATAAATAAAATGTCCAGCTTGCGTTTGTTTACATGTTTTAGTAGATATTCATTTTCTGCATTTATTAATAGCAAATTTCTAACTCTAAAAAATCTTATTTGCAAATAAAATCTTTTTTTTTTTCATTTTCTATGAAAAATTGGGGGGAAATCTGATGAAATAATCGAGAGCTAATATCGGCCTTTTACTGCTGAAACCATAGTTTAAAGGGGATGTCTTAAAGATCTATGAAAAAAATGGTGTGGCATTCCTTCTTAAATTCTTCCTTCAAACTTAGAATTAAATGCCTACTTCAAGTGTATTACAATTTATAAACTTTAATCTCTATAATGTTATGTATACAGTACATGTAGATTGAGGAGTGTTCCTATGCGCGACAGAGGCAACTTTTGAACAACTTTTTTAAGCCCACAATTTGCTCGACTTTCTTTTTTTTTTGTTTTGATTGAATGGCTCGATAACTGAAGTGAATGATTTTATTTTTCCCAGAAGCTTTGCTAGGACCTGTAATAAGGTGAACATTTACTCAAATTACGTTGATAGCCCAACTGTTAATCATTTAGCACTGTCCATTTAAAACCGTTTAGTACATGTAGAAATCTATTAGCAGAGTAGAACCATGCAACAAGTAAAGATTAAACATAGTTTTATTAAGAGTGCGTATTTGAACAAACACCAAACGAACGTTTAAATGCAATAAGAAAATATGAAATGTGAAATATGAAATAATCCGTAGAACGACGAGTGAGTCATGATGCAAGTGCATTTTGATTAACATTGAAAGCAACGACACGATGTCTGAACAAGATAAAAATTATGAAAATATAGTAAACTGAAAGCATACAAGGGAAAAGGCTAGTGAATGTCAAACCCTTATTACATAATAAATCAAATAAAGGATATTTATAGACCTCCTCTCTGCATGTGGATAATTTAGGGCATTAGCCGCACATTTATTTTTCATAACGGTACAACAAATAATATCCAACTTAGATTTCAAGCTGACATATGTTCCTTGCATATTAGTGAGCATATAAATATTGTTTTCCAAGCATATAAAATTAAATGCGCAAACATACATGTATAATGCAATGAACAAATTGTGAACAGGGAAGCAGTATTTTCTGTTGTTTGAAGTTATCGCCCTTATAATTTTAAATACATTCATTTTTTTTGCAAAAGTAAACAAATTTGCTAAATCCAATTTAAAGTAAAAAGATCAAGAATAAACGTTTTATAATTTCTTTTCTACTAACAATAAGAATTTTGTCTGTATTCTGGAATAACTTTTTTTTTCCATTAATTTTATTGTAAATAACTTTGAAACATCGATGTATTATGCATACATATTAGTTTTTTTTTCAAAAACTCTAAAAAATATTAGTCAGACCCCCCCCCCCCCCAAAAAAAAAATTAAAGAGAGAGGGCGATAGTGGAGAGAGAGAGGGGAGAGAGAGAGAGTGGGGACAGAGTGTGGGGAGGGGAGAGAGGGGGCAAAGAGTGGGGAGTGGGAGAGAGTGGAGTAAGGGGGGGAGAGAGAGGGGGAGGGTAGAGAGAAAGGGGAGTAAGGGAGAGAGAGAGGGGAGTAAGGGAGAGAGAGGGGAGAGAGATAGGGGCATAAGGGGAGAGGGGAAAGAGAGGGGAGTAAGGGAGAGAAAGAGGGGAGAGAGTGGGAGGGGGAGTGAAGGGAGGGTATAGAGAGAGAGAGAAGCTGGAGGGAGGAGGAGTGGGGAGTAAGAGAGGAGATAGTGTGTGGGGAGATTGGGGAGAGTTAAGATTTCCATAATTCCTGGACTTGGTCAAGAAATGAAAGGGGGCATTTTTTCTGCAAATATGATGGCGTTTATCTCCATTCATATGCCCGATCAATCATGAATGTTTTCTGTCCTATAAAATATTTAGAGAGAGAGAGTGGGGAGAGTTGAGAGAGAGAGAGGGTGGGGAGAGAGGGGGAGACAGAGTGTCGGGGAGAGGAGAGAGAGTGGGGAGGGGAGAGAGAGGAAGTGGGAAGGGAGAGAAATAAGGGGAGAGTGGGAGAGAGAGGTGTGAGGAAGGAGTGGGGAGAGGGAAGGAGAAGTATAGAAGATGATATAACCATGTATAGACTTGTGTTAAACACCTCTTTCTTTGTAAAAAGCCTCATTTTGTGTAGGCTTTGTTGACATTAGCAAACAACAAAAGACACTGGTAAAGATTTTGATTCAGTCCTGTGTGATATTTTTAAGATTTATATATTTCACAAATTTAATCTTCTCGATATTTTCATGAGAAGTTTAAGACTTCATTCAAAGAAATTAAAAGATAATTATGAGATGAAATTTTCTTAAAAATCGCTATTTTTAAAACTAATTGGGAAGAGTTTTAAAACATTGATCTTTCTAATAACTATGAAGAAGAAAGACTTTATTTTGATTTTGTGCACATTTAGATAATGGAAACTGTGGAAACTGAAAATTTTTAAAGGTAATATTATTAAGGTATTCCATCCCTTAAAGGAAAAGATTCAATGAAATTGAATACATATAAGGTGTAGGTGTTGAATACTCAGTATATTTAGACATAATTCCCATTTATTACTATAAACTTGGAAGGGTGGGATCTGTCCTAATTTATGATCTTGAATTTTGATAAGGGTTATCTATTTTTAATTAATAAAAAAAAATTAATCTTAAAAACTTATCTGGTAAAAAAAACGTTTTCAATTGTCATTCTATTTCTAATATTTAATGCATCTTTCTAGCACAATATTTATTGATTTTATTATTTGAATTTAAAAAAAAAATTTCCCCATAGACTTCAAAGCAATTTTTGTTAATGAATTACTGCTTAGTAAATTATTTTTTTGAAACTTTCTCTCGGTAAATCTTTTTGTACTATAAAATGCTTTAAATTAATTTCAAAGTATTATGAGCATGATGAACATTTAGGGATAGCTAGAGAATTTGGTCCTATTAGGAATGGAAAACCTTAAATGTGATAAAAGAAATCAAAGAAAGTGCATATTCTTGTTCTAATAGTCAAATACATAGGAATGTATAGGAAATATCTTTTAAAAAATTCTTCTCAAGATCAGCTTAGCCATTATTAGTCATATAAATACAGAATTATCCTCAGAAAGGGTAGATTAAGTCTATTCAAATCATGACCCGTGGGGTAGGGCGGGACCACAACAGTGAGTCAAAGTTTTAAATTGGAATATATCTTTAAAAATTTTCTTCTCAGGAACGACTGAACCATTATTAGTCATATTTATACAAAAGCAACTTAAGGTATTGTAGAATAAAGTTTGTTCAAATTATGATCCCCAGGGGTTGGGAGACAACATAGGGTGAAAGTTTTTAAATAAGAATATATATAGGAATCATCTTTAAAATAAATTTCTGCTCAAAAACAGCAAAGCCGTGATTAGTCATATTATTATAGAAGCATCCTTTGGTAGTGTAGATTCACATTTGTTCAAATCTAGGGTGGGTAGGGTGGGGCCACAATGAGTAATCAGAGTTTTACATAGGAATACATAGGAAAAAATCTTTAAAATTCTTAATTCTGCTCAAGAACAGCACAGCCATGATAAGTAAAATTTACATGGAAACATCCTAAGGTAGTGTAAATTCAAGTTTGTTCATGCAACATGAGATTTGATTGGTTTGTAAGCCGGGTATAAATTGTCGTACACCCGACTTGAGCCGGATAAATAACATGACGTCACAATGAATTGTAGCACATATAGTAAATGTTATTGTAAGATTGAAACACCATTCATTGGACTTGGGTTTATAAAGAATTTATTTGGTTACATAGGAAATAAATTAATATTATCCACATCCAATCAAGGGTGTACGAGGATTTACCCCAGGTTTCATTCCGTACACCCTTCGGTCTCATGGTGTATGAAATAAAACCCGGAGGTAAATCCCTGTACACCCTTCATTGAACCTGGATAACTAATAAGATACTACATGTATAACTAACTTATAATTTGGAGAACTGAATCTAGGTAGATGGAACACATCACCCAAAATACAAGGTCCACTACACCCATCCCAATTTAATGATTTTTGGGGGTTCTAAAACATTGACCCTTTACTAGAACTCTTAGTGTAATTAGAAGCACTGCAAAATCATTTTGAATAAATTACAATAAAATATAATATTATTATAAAAGGTAATGTAAGTAATTATTTTGACCAAAACAATATGAAGATCATACCAATATAAAATATTGCACATCATGTTTATCACAGTTTATCATGATTAAGGAATGAAATCATTGACAGTTTTTGACATTCAGTCTAAAATTCACCGGTATGTCATATGTTCAAAAGTTAGAACAAGAAGGACAAAATGTACAGCAGCCATATTCCCAGTAACACCAGCACAGCTATTCCTGTGTAATGCCACATTTCTGGGACAGGAACTTTCTTCACTGCTTCTTTTGCACCTTTCCAAGCATTTGGTCCCTGAAGTCGCCATTGGTATGTGCCACAGGATCCAAGCATTAATCTGAAACAAGTTCGAGGAAAAATGCATATTAAAAAAAACTTGTATATTCTGTGCCCTGAAATCTATAATTCTTTTTATATGTTTCATTTAAAAGAAATTTTTGAGACAAGTTCACAAAATTTCTCACGATAAAAAAGCTATTAATGCCCCCAATCCCTTCCCAAACACACAAAAATGACAGTTTAAGAATTTAAAAGAGCTAATACGGCCACTTATTAATATATGTACAGACTGTTTATATTAGACTGTTTCACAATGAGTACAAACTTCCAAAATGGAGGAAAATTTGTACCTCCATGCCAGTGACGGGTTCTTCAGGAGCTCTGGTTTTGCTCCAAACATGGCCGATATTTCATCATTGTACAGTATTGGGTCCCTCTGTATTGTGTGTCTGTTGGAATGATAGTACCTGGATTTCACCTTCTCCTAAAGGCACAATTACAAGACAAAAAATTAAAGACATTTTTTGAACATTTCTTCTGTTCTTTTAATTTATTTGCTTTACCTGCCCTTGAAATGTACATGTACTAAAACACAGCTAGTTTCGCAATAACCTGACTGAAAATAATTTAATATGCATGTCTTTACTGTTTTATATTGAATGGTATGTTATAATTATATTGTTCATCTGTGTAGGTCAGTGTAGTATACTGCCACTGATTTCACAAATAACACTTGATAGGTATTCACACAAAGAATGACAAAAAGACAGAAGTAACACCATAGCAAAAATGTGCACATGCATGACTATCTACAACTTTACAAAACTTTACTTCACATGTAAAGTACATGTATAAGGAACAGAAAACAGCAAATTTAATTGTTTGGAGCTGATTTTTATAAAAAAAAAAAATGCACTCTCTACCATCCACTCACACACTCACTTCTCTTTTTGGGTAGTGTATTTGTTTAAATTCATTATATATTATATTATAACTAAAAGCCTGCACTAATGTTTGTCCTTTAAGGCAGAGATTTAGAAATATTAGTTTAATTTGAAATAATCCTTGGAACATCATGATTTTACTTCATGTCCAAAATCTTGACATGAGCCCATATTACAGAGGTCTATGAGAGAGAAACAAAATGAAAACTCTGCATAGGAGATTGCTAAAAAGGTTGAAAGAACCACGAGAGAACTCGTGACCATATATACAATATCTTACTCAGTACAGTATTGTACCTTTATGGGTACAAATAGTCATTGTATACTAAATCACCTCCTAAGATATAAATATATATATATATATTTATCCATTACTTGCCTCCTCTTCCTTTATGTTTTCATTCATTGTGAATTTTGTGGGTAAACTACAACGTCCCCTACATAGTTCAGTGAACCATCTGGCCTGGATCTCAGACATTGAAAGAAGTCCTCCGGAGGCTGGCTGTGTAAAACCAATAAAGGCTAGAGAATGTCCAATCTCGGGGTGGAAGACATTTTTGTACAACTGGAAAGTAGAAAAGCTTAATTACATATATATAGATTTTAATATCTTTATATCAATTATGGAGTGGGCAAAACTCATCCCCAGATCCCCTCTCCTCCCCCTTCCTTTATTGATCCAATATGTTCCTCTTCCTCCCCCTCTGTGTCTTTACATGTATCTAAATATATCTGATCTGTGCACTGCCCCAGATATCAGCATATACATGTATCACATTTACATTAGTTCCTTTTTGCTTATCCCATGTCTTTTGACAAACAACTGTGCTTTATTGGGTGCTAAATAAGACTCCTTTAACAAATACATATACAGCTTACTTTGATTGAGTTTGTGTTTTCATCCAAGATAGTGTTCTTTAGGTCCTCACTCAAAAAGGGGAGATCAATCTTGTAGCCAGTACACATCACAATGACATCAAATTCTGCTGACTGGCCATTCACAAATGTGACCTTTGATCCTTCTATGTTCTAGAGAAATGATGAAAATAAAATTTAGCTGTAACAACTTTGATAAAATATAAGCTTCATAATGACTACCAAATAAATACTTCAATCTGAAGTTTAAGGGATTTATGGCACATGTAAGACCTGAAGATCAATAATTTTTATAATATTATACATGTACATATACATGTACACTTGTATATACAATAATTTAGAACATTTTTTAAAGTAATTTATACATAAATTTACATATTTTTAAAATTTCTTTTGGTCCAATTAAATCAAAGTATTTTGTGTTTAGATTTTTTAAACAAATTGAATTTTCATATTTCTATGAATTCATAATATGCATGCATAGTACATTCATATTAACGTCTAAATAAATATACGTGTTCATAAATTTGTTATGTTTATTTTTTGGATATCCAAGTATCTGACATTTCTTCCATACATGTATTAATGAAGTATAATCTTGCAACACAGCTATATGTACTAAACAACACAAAGCAAATCAAAGGTTGTCTTTAAATATAAAATAAATTGGTAATCAGAGATTACAGAGCTCACTTCAATGAATGTTGTCTTTAAGTAAGGCAAATTCCCACTCTAAACTAATAATCAAGTAGTGTGCATCCCTAGATGCAATTTTGGTTGGATAGGGCTTGCAGTTACTTGGGTATCGACTTATCTAAAAACCTTTACACTAGTCACTCATCCAGAAAATGCAAGTCAAATCCAGCATCCGAAGCAAGTTTGAGGGTGTTCATCCCTTGATGCCATCCATTCAAGTTTGGTTCAATAGGCCTTATAGTTTCTTGGTAATGGACCTGCTCCAAAAACTTTAACCTGGTCACTCATCCAGAAAATGTAGGTCAGATCCAGCATCTGAAGCAAGCCCAGTAGTGTGCATCCTTAGATGTACTGTATCATCAATACAAGTTTGGTCAACATAGGGCTTATGGTTACTTGGAAATGAGAACTGCTCCAAAAACTTTAACCTGATCACTCATCCAGAAAATGTAGGTCAGATCCAGCATCTGAAGCAAGCCCAGTAGTGTGCATCCTTAGATGTACTGTATCATTCATACAAGTTTGGTCAACATAGGGCTTATAGTTACTTGGAAATGAGAACTGCTCCAAAAACTTTAACCTGGTCACTCATCCAGAAAATGTAGGTCAGATCTAGCATCCAAAGCAAGTCCAGTAGTGTGCATCCTTACAGATATAATTCATGCAAGTTTGGTCATTATAGGACTAATATTTACTTGGAAAAGAGACCTGCTCCAAAAGCTTTAACCTGGTCACTCATCCAAAAAATATAAGTCAGATCTAGCATCCAAAGCAAGTCCAGTAGTGTGCATCCTTACAGATATAATCCAAGCAAGTTTGGTCATTATAGGACTAATAGTTACTTGGAAATGAAACCTGCTCCAAAAGCTTTAACCTGGTCACTTATCCAGAAAATGTAGGTCAGATCCAGCATCTGAAGCAACCCTGGTAGTGTTCATTCTTAGGTGTTTCTTCCATGCAAGTTTGGTCAACATAGGGCTTATTGTTACTTGTAAATGAGACCTGCTCCAGAAACTTTAACCTGGTCACTCATCCTGTAAATATAGGTCAGATCCAGCACCGAAAGCAAGCCTGGTAGAGTACATCCTTAGATGTATCATCCATGCAAGTTTGGTCAATATAGGGCTTCTAGTTACTTGGAAATGAGATCTGCTTTAAAACTTTAACCTGATCACTCATCCAGAAAATGTAGGTCAGATCCAGCACCCAAAGGAAGCCTGATAGTGTACATCCTTAGATGTATCGTCCATTCAACTTTGGTCAATATTGGGCTTATAGTTACTTGTAAATGAGACCTGCTCCAAAAACTTTAACCTGATCACTCATCCAGTAAATGTAGGTCAGATCCAGCACCGAAAGCAAGTCTGGTAGTGTACATTCTTAGATGTATCATCCATGCAAGTTTGGTCAATATAGGGCTTATAGTTACTTGGAAATGAGATCTGCTTTAAAAACTGTAACCTGGTCACTCATCTCGAAAATGTAGGTCAGAACCAGCACCCAAAGCAAGCCTGGTAGTGTACATCCTTAGATGTATCGTCCATTCAACTTTGGTCAATATCTGGCTTATAGTTACTTGTAAATGAGACCTGCTCCAAAAACTTTAACCTGGTCACTCATCCAGTAAATGTAGGTCAGATCCAGCACCAAAAGCAAGCCTGGTAGTGTACATTCTTAGATGTATCATCCATGCAAGTTTGGTCAATATAGAGCTTATACATGTAGTTACTTGGAAATGAGATCTGCTCCAAAAACTTTAACCTGCTCCAAAACCATTAACATGGTCATTCTTTAGCTGAAATTGCAGCATCTGAAACCTTGACTGGTACAATGAAACATACTAGAAGCATCCTCCATGCATCTCTGATTAATATAGGGCTTATAGTTACTTGGAAATGAGATCTGCTCCAAAAAATTTAACCTAGCTGGGACACTGACAGTATTACATAAGCTCTCCCCAACTTCCTTGAGATGAGCTAATAAATTTTTAAATATAAAAAAATATTTGAAACAAGAAGATTTTCAATGTACTAAATATACTGTAGATCACTAAATTTTCGTGACACCTTATTTTTACAAGATTGTTGATTGGTGGATACTAAATGAATGAAATTTTCACGAACAGATGGTTTAATTATGCAAAAATAAAGTTCTCATTAATAAAAGGTGATTTACAAAACACAGTTGCACTTTGGTATTTCGCACTTCAATAGCTGGAATACCATGGATATGTTGAAGTGAGTTGGAAGTGCCTTACACTTTTTCTTCAATATTGCAAATCCTTGGATATTTTGAAGATATTTCTTGGCCCAATCATGTTCGAGACAACAAGGTTCAATACTATAACATTTCTAAAGACATTTTTTAGTTTAAAATATATGAGCTACTCGAAAATAATAATACATATTCAAACTATACAAAATCATGCAATTGAAAACAAATGTAATTTTCATGAGAGATAAATACATACATATACATGTTAATAACAACAATGAATTAGTACCCCAATTACCAAACAAAAATAATTAATATGGCTAGAAATAATATTCAAATTACCATCTCCACACTCTGGATGAATCATGCATCTCAAGTGAAGACACAATTCATATGCAATAATACATTCATGTACCGGGTATATGTACATGGCCTATATTGTTAAAAAGCATGCATTCAAAAAATCTACTACAAGTACAATGTACGTGCAAAATACGGATTAAGAAATTATAAGGAAGAATGTAATAATTACTAATTCAATATGATTAGTTTTTGTGCACATACTCTCCTGAAAATTTGGTTTTATATCAGTCCTAGGAAAGCAAAGAAATTTTAAAACTGTAATAAAAGTATTGCAAATAGAATCTGTATGGTAAACAGAGATTGAAATATTTTCAACTTTAAAAGAATAAACATGTATAATACAGATTCAAATTTGTACATACATGTTTATTAATTCCTTCTTTTGTTCTTCAATGAAATAAAAATACTGAAGTTCAAATGCTGTAGATTTTGAATTAGAACCATGATTACCTGAATATTGGGAACCACTCGGATGTTATGGCGCTGGATGTGGTGAATCAGGGTGGGGCTAACTGTGGGCTGGGTCTGTAGAAGTCTCATTTTGGGGTTCAGATTCCATCTGGCATTTTATCAAGAGGATATATACATACATTTACAAAAATAGTGGTTAAAATTATAGAACAAGTATATTTACAGTAAAGTACGCTTATATTAAAGAAAAAATTTGATTTACAAATGTCGAAATGCATTACATGTATATCCATTAAGTTGGCGATCATAATATGTTTCAAAACTACAGGGAATAAACATCCTTATGTAAAGTTTATATAAGTATATTTACCTTCTTGGATTTCCAGAAATTAATTTCAAAATTGTCTCAAAAATGGTTGATCCTATTTGCCATGGAATATAGAAAAAGGTTCTGTTAGCATACAGGTCAGTGGGATGGCCGAATAAGTAATTGGGGACAATCCAAGCTCCAGATCTTGTACTTAGATACACTGATTTACACCTGTAAGAAATATACATATTTTAAAATGTGAATAATTCAAAATAAAATGTTTTTATTCAAATCAAAAGCAAAATGCTGAAAAAAATGTGTGAAAAGGACATATGCACGCCATGATATACGACTGCATGCATTTACAAAGGAAAACCTAGATCTCTTAGCAAGATATACCACATGTTTGTTGTTATAATTCTAAAGCCAGTTGAAATCCCAACAGATTATTGACTTCAAAACCTGAATCTGTGTGGCTATGGAAATATATCCTGTTCTTCATGACTAGCAATGAATACAACATCATTATCTTTTATCTTTTCTTTTCTCAAGCATTGCATACTGTTATATTAGACTAACCTGCCCACAGAAGCACAGTTGACAGCAACATCTACAGCACTATTACCAATGCCAACAACCAGTACCCTCTTACCCACTACACCATTAGTGAGGGCATCCTTAAACTTTACACTGTGAATTATCTCCCCTAAAAAATTAAAAAAATAAGTAAATGTACATAAAAATGTTCTTGTTCTTCTGAATTTGTTGGAATGCCTTGTGTAATATAGAGTGGACATACTCATAGGATTAAAAAGTTGTTAGCATTAATATACTATGTGTTCTTTTAAATAATTATAATGGAATTCATAGTCTAGCATCTTTTTTCTTCATTATAATGCACTACAATGCTAGACTGTGTGTAATTCCATGGGTCCATGAGTTACGTGTACATATGCCCTATAGGTATGTATAAACTTTTAAATAATAGAGGCCGTTCAGCATAATCTAAGATACATAGTGCTGAAATTACAATGTGCCTTCATAAGAAATACCCTTACAGTGCACTAGATACATGATGGAATTTCAATGAATTTTAATAGAAAATGACATTCAGTCAATTCCCAATACTTCTTTGACTCTGAGGTTTGACAGTTCATGCTACCTGGGAAAGTCTCTTGACCACGGAACTTTGGCATAACTGGACTGGCATGATGCCCTGTTGCTATGGCAACATATCTGGCAGTAATGACTTCTTCACACGAGTCCAGGGACTTCACAGTTTGTCCATCTTCCTCCACTCTCTGACAAGTCACTCTCCATTTATCATCAGCTATGAAATTTAGACAAATGTATAATTTATATAAATATTTAATATTAAATAAAGAAAGTGAGATCTAAAGAACAAATTTGATGCAGTGTGAAGAACAGATTTGATACAATACTAAAGTAGTGTAACTCCATATTCATTTGCTGTTTCGATTGTGAATATTATGCATGCATGCTCTTGTACATCCAGGAAAAACATACAAGTACATGTACATGTAGTGTCAAAAAGTGCAGAAAATATACTTTAAATAAAATGTTTATCAATATGAAATAGTAAACAGAGGTCTGCATGTACTATTAAGCCTCCAGTCTTAGGTATATAACTAAGGTTCTTTAGCCACGTCTACACATATTTCAAAATCTTAGCATTATTAATCTTTATAATTAATCTTATCTTTGAAAAAAAAAAAAAAAGAATTTTTAAACATGGGAAAATTTATGTAATTAAATGAAAGCTAATTTAGAAATGTAATACCCATTTCGGCCTCTTTTTACCTGTCTTTTCTAATTTTGTCACTTTGGTGAAGAACTTGATACATTTCCCCAGATCAAAATGGGCAGCATAGTCCTTAATGTATTTGGCCATGTCTGTATTATGTGGGTAATCTGGCACATCATCAGGGAAAGGAAAGTCTGAGAAACAGTAGTTGTACTTTGAGACATTGCTGAAAAATATCAGAAGAAAAAATATTGTTTCAAAATTCTCAAACCTTATTCATTTTACGTGTTTTAAATGTACTCTGTAGTTAACATGGAATCCAAGTGATATGAATTCCCAGTCTTTTGTCTAAATGAACCAGCATAAGTATTTTTAAAATATATATATTTTCTTAATATTTAACTCAGAATATATGTAGAAAGAAAGATTTTAATTGAGATATGACTAGATCTCTGCAACTGTACAGTTATAATTATGTTCAGTCTCACATATGGGTAAATCGCATAACTCCATAGTCATTTTCTCTGAAAGTCCATAGTCCACCAATATCACCCGATCTCTCTATAACTGCCACTTGAAATCCATCATCCAGAAGACATTTGGCAGTGACAAGGCCTGAAATTCCTGCGCCAATAACGACAACATCGACACTCTTTTCATTGGAACTTGACATCTCGACAACCCTTCAACGCCACCTTCTAAATAACGACATACTAGAAGCTGATAAGGTGACAGCTCAAACCACGTGTATTTGTTGCCCTTTGATATCCACTTCCGTCTCTGCGCGGTGCTTGTGTGTATGACGTCACTTCTTGTGTTCATCAAGTTACTGGTAGAGTTGACATCCATTCGGGTAGGTGCCTGTTTTGGGCGTGTACAAGCGAACAGGGCAAAAGAGAATCTTTATCCCTAAAAGCATATCTAGCTATCATCACAAATATTCGATGAAACGAAAAAAAAATCTTATTATAGAAAGGAAAATTGAATGAAATCCGTTTCATTCCACGCACTCTACTCGTGATGGGTTAACCATATAAATTCTCCGAATTCCTCAAATAAAGTAGTTTTTCAGAAACCAGTCGCAGAAAATTTACGAGTGTCTCTGTGATTTTAACAGCTCTATTATAATAATGAAACGTACTCCAAGTAACAAAATTCGTCCTCTGACAAGTTGAAGTGTAAATAATCCAAATTTTCTCTGAACTCCATTGCAACCCGGAATACAAAAAGATTTTCTTTTGCTGTTCACCTCAGATAAGCAGGGTTGAACTTATTTATTTCCACTATAAAAATGACTATCATGTATTTGAGTCTAATTTTATGTTTTGTGTTTCTAAATAATATTTCACTCAAATCTTCTGAAAAAAGTCTTGTTTACATCAGATCAAGAACATAAATTCAGTGATATAAGTGGGACATGTAAAAAAGAGGTTAAAATGCAAATGTGATTAAATAAACACCTGGTACACTTTAAATTCAACAGCATCTATATGTTCCTTAAACATTCTTGTTCTGGAGGAAATTTTATTTAGTTCTTTTCAAGCTAGGATTATTCAGATAATTTGTGTATATACTGTAGTTATGTTTTAAATAGGTACTTGAATAGGGAATTCCCACTTTATTTTTCATGATTGTACATTAATTGTGCCAAGTAGAAAAGAATTGCTAAATTTATAGTGTGCCAAAATACAGTCTATGCAAAAAACATCAGATTGTCAGACCTTACCTATATGTACAATGCCTCAGGTCTGATGCATAATTTTATTTTTACACTGGACTGGAATGTCTGATGTCTCATAGTCCAGTTTACTATTTTTGATATATGTAGTCAAAAATTATTTCTTTTAAGAAAAAATATCACACAAATCAAGTACATAAATGAGTGTGATTAAAACTGCATGGACCATCTCAAGTGTTCAAAAATTATATCATGACTTCTTTAGTTTTGCATGTTTACGTCTTTCATTTTCTTACATAAGGTTTTCGGTCTGAAAAAATTTCAATCGGTCCTGTGTGTTCCTCGAGTAAACCCCCCAAAAATTTTCGCATAAACAGAAAATAATTGCATTTATATATTGGAGATATGTGTAATGTTTTGTTTATGTATCTGCAGATAATACACATTGTTCCTAACCATGTTATGTAAATAGATCATGTCAGAGATCACATAGTCTTAGACTGGCATGTGATTCAAATGTAATTTTGTCCTAAAATTGATTAACTCATACCAAACTGATTACTTTTTATCTTAATTCAACATTTAGGTTACAAACGAAACAGTCTCTACCCTACCCTTAAAGAATAGGACATGCCCCTTTTTGGGAAATCCCAGAAGAGTCCTCAGGAATTAGTAAGGTCCCTGAAGGAGGCATTAGGGGCAGTTGTCAAGGGCCAGGCTGGGGAAAAGAAAGCTGATAAGGTTAGTATAGAAGTGAAAGTAGACAAATCACATGTGACATATATAATGTATTTAAGGTAGTGTAAGGTAACTGTAGTTTAAAAATTGTTTAAAAATGTATATAATTGGACAGAAACTACAAATTAAATTAAATTTTCAGCATTATGGAGTTTGCTCTAGATTTTCATTATTTTTTCAGGCCACAGAAGATGTGTCAAAGAACCTGTCAGCTATAAAGACCATTCTGTATGGAGCGGGTGATCAAGAACCCCAGACTGAGCTCGTGGCTCAACTCTCACAGGAAATTTACAACACGCACATATTACTGACCCTAGTACAACAACTTCCCCGCATTGATTTTGAGGTAAGAAATTGAATCACAAACAAATGAAGTATCACTCATATTCAGGGCTATTGCTTTTTGTCTTGATGGATTTTGTATTGGTATGTTACTGTTTCAAGGAAAAATTGCAATGTAAAAGTGTACATGTATAACTCTTTTCCTTGAATCAGCATGTATTACTCCTTTTAAGGTCAAGATCTAGTAAATGATTTTAGACTGCATTTTTATGCTAGATCCATTATGACGTCATAATCAAATTAAACTTTCTTTTTTCCCGTACTTTACGGCTGTAATAGAATTATGTAGAAAATAAAGTATTTTCCTGGAATTCAATTTGAAATTATGTGAAAAGTAATCCCGAAAACTATATTCAATTTAATATTATTTTAAAGAAGAGGCTAAGTACATAAAAAATTGCCATTTTCTGAGAGACTGTAGGCAATCTGGATACATTTAATTTGTCTGATATGGAAAAAACTCCCATATTCATGACTGATTTTCTTAATTTTTCAATGAAAATGACAGTTTATAATATGATTTTTCGTCTTGTTTACCTACAAATCATGCCCCGAAACACCTTATTCGACCAAGCTATACTTATAAAGCTTCATTAAAGGAATTTATTTCTCAAATTTGAGAAATCTGTAGGCTCCTTTTATTTACTAGATCTTGACCTTAAATATTATTAATAATGGAATGAATTTTAATGTAGTTTTTCAATTATTGAATAGGGCAGGAAAGATGTTGTTGCCATCTTCAACAACCTTCTGCGCCGACAGATTGGTTCTCGCACTCCTACTGTCGAATACATTGTCACCAAACAAGAAATTCTTTTTGATCTTATGAAGGGGTAAGTGAATTACTGTTATGAAAGATATTAATGAAGTACCATTACACAGTAAAGTTAATTAAACATGATATGCTTACCCATGTTATTATTTTTTCTTCAAGCTTTATATCAAGGATTTGTACATGAATGTTTGAATCTATAGACTTATTATGAAAATGTTTGAAAATAGAAATGAATAAAAAAAATAAGAATAAATTACTGAATAGATTACCTTCTTTTACTTCTTGTGTATTTTATGTGCAGTAAAACATGCTAACAATGAATTGCCGGTGACGGACAAGTTTGCTTCATTATAAATGTAATTCATTATATCCGTGAAGTTCATATGATATTTTAAAGCCACAGGGAATGAAAATTCCTTCGCTGTAAGTATCAATTCAGTATACCTGGTAAGCAATTCAGAGCTAGACAAATAGCATTGCCCGACGCCTGGGACAACCAATTTTGTTTGGTGGGCAAGTTATTTGATAAGTGGTGCCTGCCAGCGGACAAGTGCTTTTTCCCATTTACAAAAAATCATATACTCAATATGTCTTTTGTGTTACCGCTTTTAAAATATCATGAATCACAACAAAGCATCTGTTTTCGCTGCTGTTGACCACTATTGAATACTCGGTCGGAACTTCTCTAGAATTTACCCATGAATGTGTTGTTAAAATAAACACAAGTCGTAAAACATGACACCTTCCGATGTCGTCAAAAAAGTTGAATTGGATTTTAGACTTTTTTTATTGACAAAATATTAAATTCATTCTGTGAATACAGAAGTGCTACTGTTATTATTTGGTTGTTGATTGGCAATCACATAGTCATGAAGTCGATAGCTCAATCGGCATGCAGTAGTGTTCACAGATTTGTCTCGTTTGTAGGTTTTTTGAGATCATCTTCACATTTTTCATTAAATTTATTCAAAGAAAGGATATGGAGTATCTTATTGAAGAATTTTGAGGAGAATAGAATGAAACTTTGACTTTACCAATGCCCTGAAAATATCGAAAGAAATCTGGGAGAATTTAGTGATTTTAGATCTAGGTTGATTCCCGTGTAGTGTCTCAGTTGAGAATTAATTTAATGTTAATGATTTTGTTTAAATTAAGAAACAGGTCGGACAAGCATATTTTTTGGTAGGACAAGTAATTTTATGATGGTAACCTGTCCGAGGGCAAGTAATGCAAAATTCTATTTGTCTACCCCTGAGCATGTTCACTATAAGCCTGTTTTACTGTACATGAACATGGTATCTTGTATGTAGATATGAGAACCAAGAAATCGCCTTAAACTGTGGTATGATGCTGAGGGAATGTTGCCGATATGAGGCTCTGGCTAAAATTATGCTGTTCTCCCCAGAATTCTACAGCTTCTTTGATTATGTAGAGGTGTCAACATTTGATATTGCCTCAGATGCATTTTCAACATTCAAGGTATGTATCTCCTGCCCACAGACCAACACTTTCACTTGGCACGTGATCATGATATTTTTTGGCTTCCATCTTTGTAAACTTTTGGCCTAGCAAACCTTTTATCAAGTTAGGATTTGATTGCAAGTTAATAACAGAAAATATTTGTGGCTTTCAGTATATATTATATATACATAAATTATATTATACAAAGTTTGTTTGGTCATTTCAAATTGTGCCATATACGATATTCAAATACCTAAGTATCAAATGAAAATTCAACATCAAGACATTTTGATTTATCTTTTAACTGTGATCTTCCTTGTAAGAACTTTAGATATATCCATTAATAGATCATATCTTTCCAACAGGAGTTGCTTGTGAAGCACAAAATGCTGTCGGCAGAATTCCTGGAGAACAATTATGAGAAAGTTTTTACGTCCTACCAGAGATTGCTCAACTCTGAAAACTACGTCACTAGGCGACAGGCCCTCAAGGTCTGTATTCAGAACAATTTCTTTAGATTGTTTAATGTTTGACGGAATTGGTTGTATACTGAAAATAATGTTATTCACTTATTATTTGCAGGAAATTTTAATTTTGTGTCATGGCACAAGACCATCTGCTCAAGAAAATTCCATTCTTGCATATTTAGTTGAACTTTGGTATCTTGAACACTGATATCTCGAATACCATTGATATGTTGAAGTGATTAAGAAGTCCCAACCACTTATTCTTTAAGTATTTTACCCCTGATATCTGGAATCCTCCGATATCTCGAGGTTTTTTCTTGGTCCCATAGTGTTCAAGATAATAAGGTTTAACTGTATCTGTTTTTTTTTTTATTAAAACAGATGTCTCGAACATTTCTTTTCCTTGCTTATAAATACCAAATAATTTTCTGTGAGTAAGTTGTGTCTACAGTAGAAGTCAGATGATTGAATTCAAGATATCATTTTGAAAATCTATATGATAGAAAATGATTAACTGAGAGATCTATTATAAAAAAAACCATTCAGTTGAAATATCTCTCTTCCAATTTTGCACAGAAATAAGTTGGAGTAAAAAAAATTTTGCTATTAGTAAAGTAAAAAGGAATGCTAATTTCATTTGGAAGCTCCTGTTTAAGGATGCATAATTTAATACAAATTAAAATCTATGAAAAAAAGTAAAGGTCAACATGAAAAATACACATGTTCTGTAATTTTTTTTATGTCAATAAGAGCAGACTATTTTTTAGCTCACCTGAGCCAAAGGCTCAAGTGAGCTTTTCTGATCAAAATTTGTCCGTTGTTTGTCATCGTTGTTGTCGTTGTTGTTGTAAACTTCGCATTTTCATCTTCTTCTCAAGAACCACTGGGCCAATTTCAACCAAACTTGCCACAAAGTATCCTTGGGTAAAGGGGATTCAAGTTTGTTCAAATGAAGGGCCACGCCTTCTTCCAAGGGGAGATAATTAAGAATTTGTGAAAAATTAATGGCATCATTAAAAAATCTTCTTCTCAAGAACCACTGTGCTTGAAAATATGAAACTTACGTGGAAGCATCCTCAGATAGTGTAGATTCAAGTTTGTTCAAATCGTGACCTCCGGGGGTCAGGTGGGGCCACAATGGGTGATCAAAGTTTTACATAGGAATATATAGGAAAAATCTTTAAAAATCTTCTTCTCAAGGACAGCAAAGCCATGATTGATCATATTTACATGGAAGCATCCTCAGATAGTGTAGATTCAAATTTGCTCAAATCATGACCCCCGGGGGTCTGGTGGGGCCACAATGGGCGATCAAAGTTTTACATAGGAATATATAGGAAAAATATTTAAAAATCTTCTTTTCAAGAACAGCAAAGCCACGATTGGTCATATTTACAAGGAAGCATCCTCAGATAGTGTAGATTCAAATTTGTTCAAATCATGACCCTCGGGGATAGGGTGGGGCCACAATGGGTGATCAAAGTTTTACATAGGAACATGTAGTAAAAATCTTTTTAAAAAAACTATTTCTTAAGAACAGCAAAGCCATGATATGCATATTCATATTCATATGGAAGCATTCTTAGATAGTGTACATTCAAGTTTGTTCAAACATGACCCCCGGGGGTCGGGTGGGGCCACAATGGATGATCAAAGTTTTACATAGGATTACATAGGTTAAAACTTTAAAAATCTTCTTTTCAAGAACAGCAAAGCCATGATTGGTCATATTTAAATGGAAGCATCCTCAGATAATGTAGATTCAAATTTGTTCAATTCATGACCCCCCCCCCCCCCCCCACTTTTTTATTTAAACTTTTCAACCTTTCAAGACTGAACTGATTTCTGCTTTTTTCTAGCCATAGTACTCAGGTGAGCGATTACTGATTAGGCCCCTGGGCCTCTTGTTAAAATTTGGAGAAATTACCTTTTTGTTCAAAACAAATTTATTTCTTATCGTAGCATTATATTTCATTGTAACGATTAATTTAATATTATGAAAATGTTATTGATATCAGTGCAATTTTACTTCAGATACCTTTATAACTTTGACAAGTAATCTGTAGCTGCATACATGTGTTTCTTCATTGCCATTTGCTTATTTTATTGAGTATTTTGTTACAGTTACTAGGAGAACTCTTGCTAGATCGACACAATTTCACAACCATGACGAGATACATCAGTAATCCTGACAATCTGAAGCTGATGATGACCATGTTACGAGAAAAGAGTCGCAATATACAGTTTGAAGCCTTCCATGTATTTAAGGTAAAGTATGAAATGGAAAATCTCTTAATGGTAGAAAAATTTTTGAAATTAAAATACAAATTTATCATCATTTTTCTTTTTCTTTCTTTTTTGAAACAGAGCAGAATGCAGATGATAAAATGTTTTGCCTTCATTTGATAATTTATTTTCTGAGTATCAAAGAACACATTTCATCCCTGACATGATCTTTTATATATTATTTATTTATGATTTACAGGTGTTTGTAGCAAACCCAAACAAACCAAAGCCCATTCTCGACATTTTGTTACGGAACAAAGAAAAACTTGTGGACTTTTTAACCAAATTTCACACAGAAAGATCAGATGATGAACAGTTTAATGATGAGAAAGCATATCTTATAAAACAAATAAAAGAACTGAAATCACCCGACGAAGCGTCATAGTAATGATGGGATCTAGTTGTCATGGTTGCCAGCTCTAGATTATACATCAGTCACAAAGAAGTCTCTTCCTGTGCCCTTTGACCTTGACCTTTGATCGAGTGACCTAAAATGTACCAGCTGAGGTCTTGCACTTATACAAATTCTGTTCATTTAGGATTTTATGGAAAATTCAAAATATGATTTGCTTTGCTGTATATACAAATAGTATGCATATGATAAAGGAATGTGAATCATTTCTTAACCCCCCAAATAGGTGTCCTGTTATAAGGGCCTGAATTTGGAGTGCTACTAGATCTTTGGTGCCAAGGTGTTCGATATTTTTCTTTTAAGTTACTCTCTTGCTTGTCATCTGCATTCAATATATTTTGTCTTGGCTTAATCATTAATTATAATTGACTTTTTTAGTATAAATTTTTTTTCATAGAATGATAATGTATGCACATGTAAGTGAAAAGAAAAAAGCTACATTTAAAAAGGAAATATTTATGGTTAAAAAATGTGAATTTTCAAAACTGGTAAAAGGATTAGATTCTCGTATATTCAAAAATATAATTGTTCAAAACAAAGTACAATTTGTGAAAAAATACATTGTGTTGTGAACAATTTGAGGCAAGTTAAATCTTTGTTAAAGAAATTTATAGTACAGCTGTATTGTAATGTGAGTTTTTATGTTGTCTGATAATTCCTCAGAAAAGCTGTATCTTTTGCATTGTGAATGATACACATAACATGTACGTGTGTCTGGCCTCAGAAAAGGGTAAGAAACACAGTCTTCGATTTTTAGTATTTTTGTTTATCACAGAAAAATATAACAACCTAGGCTGGGGTTATAATTTTTGTGATGAGGGAAATATATGCTGTCAGATGGCTGAAAAATGCGAAAAAAAAAATGTTCTTCAAAATTAATTAATTAATTAAAAAATCAATTGCAAAATTTTGTCCATGAATCCAGTATGTTTTGTTGTTATCCTATATATGCAGGAAATTCATTAATTGTGTCTTACTTTAATTAACTTCTGTACACTGTATTATTATTAGTATTTTTTCTTTTTCTTTTTTTTTTTTTTGCTGATGAACATTAAAATTAATTGATTGAAAAGTTAAAATTTAAGTGCTACATATTGCTGAGCTAAATTAGTTATACACATTTCATGTTTATTATCATACAGTGTTTAATATGGGAAAATTAAATAAACCTTTTAGGATTAATTTCATAGGCCCACGAAACTTTTGAATTTCTGTGTAGTGTCCTCTGATCACCTTGCCAATGGCATACCTGGTGTGTACAAGGTCAGAATTTGTAAGTCTCCCACTATTTCTTTTATGTTAAGATGAAACTGGCGAGATGTATAATACGGTCTGTATATTAGACCAGATGTGTAACTTTTTTATGAGTAGCTAGTTTAACATTTAACAATGTATTTAATTTCATGTATTACTCATCTTATTGGTATTCTTAATAGTGCTAATTTGAAATCTTTATATGACATTTATTTGGGGTGGGGTAGGTCTTAAGACAAGCAGTTGTGACCATGTAACCTAAGGATTTCTTATATAATGGCATTTACTGTAAAAACTCTCTTGATATGGATTTAGACAGTCACATACCCCTTTCCCGCAAACACCCCTCTCCAAAGGTAAAAATCAAGGGCTTGAAATTTATTTTGTTATACAAGATTAATTTAGTTCTGCCTGAAACATATATATTTAATTTCATAATTAAAAAAAGGCTTCTTAGTTATTATTTCTCTGTCATCAGAAAAAGTGTGTATGGAAAAATAAGGCCTCCAATTTTTGTTTTTAGATGTTCATTTTTGCACGGGATATTTTTTAGCTTTAAACTTTTCTCTTCTTCTTTTTCATTTTTTTTTTCACCTTATATTTATATTTTCTATGCTTAGATTTTTTTCTTTGGTTAAAAATAATGTATTTTCCAATGTTCCAACATTCATTTCCATGTATTTGAATTACATGTAGATACACATTTTGTTGTGCATGTATGTGGGTTATTGATTGGGAGCTAAGTGCATAATGTGATTATTGTCCTATGTGGTAATTAAACTTTGTGAAAAATAAATTTAAACATGTAATAGACAGTTTTTTTTTTTTAGCTTATATTAATAAAATTCATGCTTTGGTGCAATTCATATGGTTGCCATGCAGTCAAAGTCTTTTGATTGAGATTAATTATACATACACCATATCTTTGAACAAATTGATAAATAATTAAATTTGATTGTTTTTTAAAGTATTGAATACACATATTAACCTAGATGTTCTGAACACATTTTTTTTTTGAAATCTGATTGTCAACTTTCTTTTTAAAGGCAAAGTCTTAAGCTCACTCATTTTTTTTCTTGCAATATAAACTGAAATCGATGAGTACATGTACTAGTATATACATGTATGTATCTATGTTAAAATAAGTCTGTTATAAATATTTTAAGTAACATTCAGTTGTTTGTTTTCTGTATATATATATATGTATATTGTGGAAGCCTTGTTGCAAAAGTGAAGGGATTTACAGTTGTAAGGATGTTTAACATCGATCATTGCAACCCGTATGATTTTTTATCCTGTCTCTGATAAACATAAGTGATCAGAGATTACAGATCTCACCTCAACGAATGTTGTCTTTAAGTAAGGCAAAGTCCCAAACTTATAATCTAGTAGTGTGCATCCCTAGATGTAACATTTACAATTTTGGTCTGATAGGGCTTGCAGTTACTTGGGAATGGACTTACCTAAAAACTTTAAACTAGTTACTCATCCAGAAAATGTAAGTCATATCCAGCATCTGAAGCAAGTTTGAGAGTGTTCATCCTGTGATGGATCATCCATGCAAGTTTGGTTCAGATAGCCCCTATACTTTACTTTAACCTGGTCACTCATCTGGAAAATGTCAAAAACAGCATCCGAAGCAAGCTTGGTAGTGTGCATCTTTAGATGTATCATCCATGCAAGTTTGGTCAACATAGGGCTTAAAGTTACTTGGAAATGAGACCTGCTCAAAAAACTTTAAACTGGTCACTCATCCAAAAAAATGTAGGTCAGATTCAGCATCCAAAGGAAGTCCACTATATGTATCATCCATGCAAAAACTTTAACCTGGTCACTCATCCAGAAAATGTAGGTCAGATCCAGCATCTGAAGCAAGTCCAGTAGTATGCATCCTTAGATGTATCATCCATGCAAGTTTGGTCAATATAGGGCTTATAGTTACTTGGAAATGACACCTGCTCCAAAAACTTTAACCTGGTCACTCATCCGGAAAATGTAGGTCAGATCCAGAATCCGAAGCAAGCGTGGTAGTGTGCATCCTTAGATGTATCATCCATGCAAGTTTGGTAAATATAGGGCTTATAGTTACTTGGAAATGAGACCTGCTCCAAAAACTTTAACCTGCTCCAAAAACATTAACCTGGTCATTCTTCAGCTGAAATTGCAGCATCTGAAACCTTGACTGGTACAATGAAATATACTAGAAGCATCTTCCATGCATCTCTGATTAATATAGGGCACAGAAGTATTTGCAAAGACAACTGCACCAAAGACTTTAACCTGGGACACTGACGCCTACACTGAGGGTATTACATAAGCTCCCCCGACTTCGTTGAGGTGAGCTAAAAATCTTGAAATTTAATTGGTCGAAAAGAATTCTGTATTAAACCATATTATGCTGTCTACCACATCATATTGTTAATGTGCCCCCTCCATGTGACCTACCCACCACCACACATCAAATCAATAATGCCCCCTCCATTTGCCATACTGTCCAGATCATATTCAATATGTTGTTTTCACTTGAACACGCAAAATGCCTAATTACTGACCTCACATGAGCATCAAACAACATCACAATTGTTAACGAAGGGTTTGCTTAATTAGCTCAGAGACAAAGAACTTTATTAAAAAATCTTCGACAGGATAAATTCGTTATGTAGACACTTAGAGGGGTAATACGGAAATATATGGGTCCCTTGAAAAAATGCATACTGGGCAAGGCATAAGAAGGGACACTTGTATCAATGTGTCTACCCTCCCCCCATACATAGTACAGCCATATTTTATGGTGGGAAAAATTGGCTCTGGGGGAAATCACACTCTATAACTATTACACAAATTAGGATTTCCCCCAGGAAAATTGAATCTGGTGTGGGACTTCCGTAGGGGAAATCCTACTCTAGAGTCATTTTTTATGCCCCGGATCGAAAGATCCCGGGGGTATATTGTTTTTGTCCTGTCTGTCTGTTTGTTTGTCTGTCTGTTGTCAACTTTAACCTTGCCCGTAACTTTTGATTGGTTGGAGCTAATGACTTTCATATTTCACATGTGTATTCCTTGTGACAAGACCTTTCTTTGGGTACCATCATATTTGACCTTGGAATTTGACCCACTTTTGCAAAATTTTATGAGACTTTAACCTTGGCCATAACTTCTGAACAGTTGGAGCTTGGGGTTTCAAACTTCACATGTGTATTCTTTGTGACAAGGCCTTCTTTTGGATACCAACCACTTTGACCTTTTGACCTTGGACTTCGACCTACTTTTGAAAAACTTTAACCTTGGCCATAACTTTTGAACAGTTGGTGCTTAGGGTTTCAAACTTCACCTGTGTATTTCTTGTGACAAGACCTTCCTCTGGATATCAACCACTTTGACCCTTTTGACCTTGACCTAGGAGTTTGACCTACTTTTGAAAAACTTTAACCTTGGCCATAACTTTTGAATGGTTGGAGCTAGGGCTTTCATACTTCACACATATATAATCCTTGTGACAAGACCTTCCTTTGAATACCAATGACTTTGACCTTTTGACCTTGACCTAGGAGTTTGACCTACTTTTGAAAAACTTTAACCTTGGCCATAACTTTTGAATGGTTGGTGCTAGGGCTTTCATACTTCACATATGTAATCCTTGTGACGAGATCTTCCTTTGGATACCAGCCACTTTGACCTTGACCTTGACTTTTATTTAAAAAACTTTAACCTTCACCATAACTTTTGAACAGTTGTATCTAGGTCTTTCAAATTTCACAGGTGTTTTCCTCGAGACAAGATCTTTCTTTGGGTATCAACATTTTTTATCTTTTGGCCTGGATTTTGACTTGCATTTGAGAAACTTTAACCTTCGACATAAGCTGCCATACGGGGGCATAGTGTTTCACAAACACATCTTGTTCCAAGGTGGAAATCCTACTCCAAAGCCTATTTTCCAGGGGGAAATCTAGAGTCAGTTTTCCGGGGGGAAAGATTTTAGAGGGGAAAGCCTACTCTACAAGACCGGTTCCATCAATTCTCATATCCACACATACACATGAATGAAGTGGTAAATTCTTTTTTGATTAAAAACAAATAATTCATACAATCATGTATATTGGTAATCTATGTTTATTCAACACACAGTGACAGTTCTCATGTATCATATCAAATAGAGACTTTTAAGCTGGGGCAATTGCATTTGGCCTTCCAGCTTCTTTTGAGCACCTTGTTTTTGGTATTATCAAGGCATAAAAATATCTTTAAATGCAAGTGAGTTAAACTTAATGAAGCAGCTTGACAACTCCTCTCCCTATTTTCCTTGGAGCTAAAAACAAATACTAGTAGATACAGTATTCCCGACTTTAACCATAAGTATACATGCATCACATCCATCTATATGACACACAATACATCATTATACAGTAAATTAACACAAATTATATATAATGTCATGTCTTGTACTCTTTTTTCCCCCTAAAATCTTACAATCATCCTTTCAGGCATTATATAACTTAAACAAAGGAATATCAAGAAAACTTTGGTATTTCTTAGGCTGCCACATATTCCTGCTGCATAAATGTACATTTTTTTACAGGAATTAAAAACTTAATATCAAATTTTAATTAAAATTACATGTAAAACAGATGCAACAGTAATAAAATTACTATAAATTAAAAAAAATAGTACATAGGTATGTTGTTTTATTTTGAAATTATGTATAGTGCTACACCAAGTGGGATCTTTTGAACAAAAACATTTCAATTGTATTTTGTATTGCATTATTCTGCATACAATATTGCGTAGTCCACTTCTAAAATTAGTGTTTTCCTGCAGTTAAAAAATAACTTTGTCCTCAAAAGTTTTGAACCGGGTACATTGGTTGACTATGAAATGGTTTGTCAATGAAAAGTTTGTGTAGATAAGTCACTTTTTTCTCATGAATACTGGCAGCACTGTGTGAGTTTGTAAATCCACCATTTCCTTACCTTAGTATCTTGTATTGTCTGAAGTATTATCATATGTTATGATAATTTTTATTCATAACTGATAATTTCTGCAGTTGGTAATTTTAGAAAAATGACACAATTTGATCATTTTTTTTTTTTTTTTTTTGCATTTCTTTGTCTTAATATTATACAATTTGCAATAAAGATAGGTAAAAGTTGAAAACATTACCTAGTTTCTAGCAGTATTATATTAAGTTAAATAATATCTGTTTCAACTGAAGAGATGAATACCAATAGCTTTAATGTTGGTACATGTACATCCTCTTGAAACTGTATAACAGCTTACAAGTTGAGTACTGAAGAACTACACAAATTAATTAAATATTCAAAGCATAGGTTATTTTCAAAAATCTACACTGTACACGTATATGATGTTCTTTTTACAGCATTGTACAACATGTACTACTTTCACATGACTAAAGTTGACCTGAAAAAATTCCGATGACTAAACCTGACCTAAAAAAATTCACCAGCAAATTAAGAAAAAAAAAATGCATGACTTATGACACAGTTTGAATGTCAGATCAATAACATTGTACACTATATTTTTTTACCGGTAAATAATAACATTAAAAGTACATGTACATATACATACATGAATTTTAACAATATGGCACATACTTAACAAAGAGCTTTAAGCTATAAGAGGAAAGAAACCCAGCATCTCAACACAACAAATGTACATGTACAGGTGTATGTTTCAAAAAAAAAAAAATAAAATAAAAGAAAGCAAAACAAAACAGAAGAAAAATTAGAAAATCAAATCTGACTCTCTCCAAGATGGTTCATTGACAATGCAATCCACTTCTAAAGGTTACACAAAATAAAGTTTTAAGGATTAGACAGTTTTCACTCCTATTAAAGTATTGACAAACACAATTGTAAGTCTTCAACATTTTCAATTTAGGGATTTCAAAAGTTCTTTCAATCTCTGGCAAAAATTACCAGTGCGTTAGATCCTACTCAAAACGCACTTTGTCGTCCGTCGCAGTATCCACTTCTATTCTAGCATATGGCACAGGAAGTGACACTGTGGGACAGGTTACGATGCGGAGCGTGTTGGTGGACCCTGCCCCCGAGGTCCATCCGGTCACCAGGATGACGATGTCTCCCCCTCTAATGTATCCCAGCTGACGGGACAGCATTATTCCGTAATTTAACCTGGCATCCACATCGTCTACCCACACTTCATCTCTATCATCTGTCAATGCAAACAGTCAGTCGAAATATTTTTAAATTATTTTTTGCATCCATAATCAATATATTTTCCCTTCCAGATCAAATGTCATCAGAAATAAATAATAAGAAAACATCTTCAGATTGAAAAAAAAACTATGACAATTAATTGTATGCAAATACAGTTGAACTTCGGTATCTTGTCAAACATCAAAATCTTGAATACCATGGATTTGCAGAAGTGACTTGGAAGTCCCAATCATTTTTCTTATGTTTTTTAACCTTCATAATTTGAACTCTCATGTATCTCGATGTTAATTCCATTTTCCATTGAGTTTGAAACAACAGGGTTTGACTGTATTTACAAACAAGTCATTTCTATAGTTTGAATTTCAATCAAACATAGAGTTCTAATAACCATAGTTTATTATCATTAGAACATTCTAATCATGCAAATAATGGCTCATTTAACTCATCCATATGAGAGTTATGCATCTTTTTATGTACTGAAGTTCTACATGAAGCTCGATTAATCATTCAGAAAAATCTTCCACAAAACAGATATTAAGATCTTCACCTTCAAATAACACTGGGAAAACCCCTCTATGTAGCTGCAGGTTGTTGGCAGTTTTTTGGGATCTGGTTATAGCTACAATCACACAGTTAGGTCTGTATTTAGATACCAAAGCAGGTGACCTGAAATCATTGAATAATACATATATAAATCATTATTAAACTTAAAGATATAGAACAGATCACCAACACTTCGTGAGAATGCAGCATTTAATTTTCTGCTGCATTCTCACAAAGTGTTGGTGATCTGTTTTATATCTTTAAGTTTACAACTTAAGGTACAGACCCTACATAAAACCGTTCGGTATCCACACGCGAGAACCTTCTGCAATTTCAACCTCAAGGTGTTGGGTCTCCAGTTTTTCTTTGTTTTGTAAATCATTATTAGTTATATGGCCTATATTTCAGTGATAAATCATCAGTGATGATCTCTTTAACATATTAAAACTTTACAATTTAAAATACAATGTAACAGTATCAGTCTGAGGGATGTTATAACATACATGTATTGCCACTAGATAATATATGGTTCTTGTAAGTTTATTCATAAGTATCTGATACATTTATTCATTTTTCTTTAAACAGCAAACAAATTATTTCTATTATTTGGTTTCTCTAAGGCTGGCTCAGACACTTGTATGTCAAATGCTAGCTGAGGGAAACATCAAAGTCAGTTATAAAAGTCCCAACTATAGTTTGTGCCTTAGTTATAACTTTGTTATCTAAAATACTGTGGAATCTTTATTGTTCGAAGGTAATGGTTTTCATGGGGCACCCTTGCCCATGAATTTAGATTCCCATGAACAACAACTTTATCAATACATGTATATTGGTTCATTGAATCTTCCTATATACAGATTACCCACAAAATTACGTATCCAACTAGAACTGTCCAAAAGGGACAAATACCCCCCGCTGGGTTTTTCAGAGGTGCCAAATCACTAATATTTTATGGATCTACGAGGTGTTTACAATTTTCTTATTAACATTTAGCGTGAAATAAATAATTGCTCATTATATTTTTTTAATGAATGAAACCAAGGAACAACCTAATAAAACATCAATACCAATACATTGTAATTACATTGTTTTTTAATACATTGAAAAAATAAGTTGCAACTATCTGTCATCTTTTTGAGACATGACATTCTGCAAATTGATTGTTGAAAAAAAAATCAATTAATTACAAAATCAAATTAATCTTGATAACTTTATATCAAATTCATTTTAAAAATGAATGGCTGGTCATCCAGTAACTATGTACTATGACAGACAATAAATTACAATTAAGAGAATTAAAGAACAGAGATCTTTAAATTCCCAGGAGATATAGATAACACATGCTTGATCAGAGATGCCCTAACAACTTCCCACACTGAACTCATTAATTTATTTCTAACTGGATGATGTCCACTCATTACTCCCAAGGGACAAATGGATTTACACTATCTGCTGTGTAATGTAAAAATTGCTTTTAATACTTGGTGATTTTTTTTTTTGTTTTAATGAATAGTTTTAAGCTGTAGTTCACATTTTTGTACAGATGTTCTAGATTCTGTGTCTCAAACCTTAGAAATAAACCCAAAATGACTAAGTCAATAAAAATAAAAAGAAATTAAAAAAAAAAAACCCTTGTAAAATGCAGAAAAATTATCAAATAATGTTGAAAATACCAGGTGCACATCTTCATATGGTAAATAATGAGTGTACAAATTTTCATACAATTCTATGAAATAGTCTATGAGAAAAGGTCAGGACAAAACCACATAATAAAAATGAAAAAAACATCTGTAAAATGCAGAAAAATTATTCAATCATGATGAAAATACCAGGTGCACACCTTCATATGGTGAATAATAAGTGTACAAATTTTCAGACAAATCTATGCAATAGTTTCCGAGAAACGCTCTGGACAGAATCTTGTCTACAGACAGACGGACAGACAGACGGACATGGTGATTCCAATATACCCCCCCTAAACTTCGTTTGCGGGGGGTATAAAAACAGTAAAATTTTGGTTGCCTACAAACATTGATCCCCATGAATTAAAATGATTCCACAGTACTCAGATATCTCAAAGGTTTTTGTTAGACTCACTGAGCTTTAGATACCAAGTTTTAGTTGTACATGTAGTTATAGACTACAAATCAAGAATACTGTAAAATCCCATATTTCCAGGGGGTGGGTGGGGGGAGTTTTGCTGAAAATTCCACAGATAATGAGATTAAGCAAGATGTGAGATTAAGCAATATGTCAATATGTATTGTCACCCTTAATTGACAAAAAATGAGCATTCAGGTATATGTCAAGTCACTAGACAGAATGCTAATATGAACTGTACCAAAACACTGTCCCTCAGTTTTATTTCTGGATTTTCATTTGATGAATCAATAGCAAAGTAATTATTTTTGAGACATAATTTTTATGTTTCATGTTCGGTAGATACAGAAGAGGTGCTTCCCATTATGACCTGATTACTGACAAGGATTTAATTTTCATGTTTAGATAAATTTGTGAAATTTATATGTATACCATTAAATTTACTTCTGAATGTGATATACTGTCCCAGCTGGGGTTATTTCATACAGTAAACTCCTCTAGGAATCAAAGCATTGCACATCAAAACCCCTGACAACTATTTGTCAGACTACATGTATAAGCAAATCATCACATCATTAGGCAGGGTTGTCCCTTAGAACTGAAATAGCAGGTGACATCAAAAAAGTAGAAGGGGGTTTGGAGTTACTTTCTTAGCAGGGGCTGAGGGGGAATACCAGAATAACCGGGGATAACTTCATTTTAGGCGTGGGAACTCCCTGGCCCCTGGATCTTAGGGACAACCCTGATTATAGGTAACTACTATCAGCATAAACCACTACCTTCCTGTGACAGTCACCACCATAATGGCTTTTGCGTGACATTTGTGTGCGGCCTCTACTGCAGCAATGGCGGTTGTGTGAGTGTTTCCAGTTTTCCCTAATCTTTGTTTCAGATCGAAAAACAATTCCTCATTAAAAATAGCTGCCTCTGCCTGAGTACACACCTGAAAAAAATCGATTTACATATGATATATGTGTCATTTAGCTGTATGTAATATGAGCTGAAAATGTTCAAAATGAATGATGACAGATTAAAATAGAGAGCAACAAGCCACCTGACTCAGGTGACCTAAAAACATTTTTGAAAAAAAATGCATCAAAATTATCAATTATCACAAGATTTCAAGCTGTGCACTGTCATTTGATCTTTGTCATGTTTTTCCAGCATTCTCTGTTCTCTTACAAATGATAAATCAAAAACATTACCAAGCAAGAAATCAATCTGGCTGTTAATTCTAATATGACACCTAATCTATTTCTGCTGTATAAATTTTTTATATAGACTGGCAATTTTTATCATGGACTTACTGCACTCATTGTCTGCATGCTCTTCAGTGGGTGCTTTCCCCTGGCTGTTTCCCTCGACAACATGACACAATCTGCTCCATCCAAAATGGCATTAGCAACATCAGCAACTTCTGCTCGTGTAGGACGTGGATTCATCATCATACTACCCAACATCTGAAAAAAAGAAGGTCTGAAAGTCATCATCTGAAAACAGAAAAACCAAAATCATCATCTAAAAAAAGTAATCCCAAAATCAGCATCTAAAAAAAAGTAATCCCAAAATCAACGCTTGAAGAAGGAAAAACTAAAAATCAACATCTGGAAAAAGAAAACTCAAATTTAACATTTGGAGAAAGTAAATCCAAAATCAACACCTAAAAAAAAAAATCCAAAAAAAAAGAATCAACCCCCCCCCCCCCTCAAATATTATTAATACCTAGACAGAAAAGATAAAAGTAGACCAGGCAAATTTTAATTTTCCTTACAAAACCATATTACATTTTTTTTTGAAAGCAAAAAAAAAAAAAAAAAAAAAAAAAAAAAAAAAAAAAAAAATAAAAACAAACAAAAAAAAAAAAAAACCCAAACAAAACAAAAAAACAAAAACAAAAACAAAACAAAAACAAAAAAACAAAAACAAAACAAAAAATTAATGTTGAGTAATCAAATTCTGAAGGAAATGGGAGACATGAATCTGAAAGTAGTACTGTACCTTCCATAAAATAGCGTAATTCACATTTCAGTTGTGAAAAATTTATTTATCAATAATTTTGTGAGATCAATCATATTGAAACAAGAATAAACTTTTACTCAGCATGCTCAGGAATATCAAATTAATAATTATTAATATCCATGGAGAATGCACAACACATGTCTCACAAATAAATGCATGCAATTTTACAGTCCACTGAATTAAGGATATAATTATGCAATGTAGTTTGAACTTTATTGTCTTTTTCCCTGGAGTTAAAGAGTTCCAATACTTAAAGGAACTGTGTGCTACATTTTAATGTCTATATATGCTGTTGTAAAACTTCTTCTAAAACAAGTTTGGATAAACAAAACTTCTAGAATATATATTTAGTAATTTTTGTATATTTTTCTTTGAATTATACAAAAATTTTCATTAACTGACATCTTTTCAAAACCGCTGGTAATGCAAGCTGATTTTTTGTGTACGAACATCTGATGACATTATAATCTTAAATTAAGAATGTCTTGAAAAATTATCAGTAGATAAGGTATGTTGCATATGTCCTTAAGTGCAAGTAATAAGTGATACATCATATACAACAATGCATGTTTAAGAGAATCTTCTTAACAATATTTTCTAATGATTTCAAACTCCTGGTCTTTCACTGCAGTAAAGCTTTAGATATTAAACAGCAAGATTACAGAATAAGCTCAGACAATAATTGTCTTTGTTTTATATATTAAGTTAGAATTAAGTTTAGTCATTTGTCTGACCTAGAAATTTAACACTTATCACTTTACAAATGTCTAGGCTTTGTCTTCATAGAGATACAGGTCATCTCTCAGACACTTTAGGAAAAGGAGAAAACAACAAATCATTTGAATCTAGATTATAAAAAATAATAAAGAAGGAATTTCTATCTCTGTTGATTTGCTTGTCTGACACTGTGTTTCTCCTAATAATTGAAAGACTAATTTATGTCAATGTATCACCTAACCTTGTAGAGATCAATTGTATCTCTAACAAGTATCATTCATCAACCTAAAATCCGAAATCTTTGCTAGCTGTACTTAAAAACCTTTCTTCTTCTGAATTTTTTAAGACATCCTCAACCCTTAGAAAAGAATGAGAAAAATCATAACAACAAAGCGTATTTGTAATTCCTTATTATTTGCCAAACTGTACGAGTTTTACATTGTATAATTAAACTACAGACATAAATTGTAATTTACATTTCTAACTTAACATAATATTATATCTTAATATGATAGCACATGTTAAGCTGGAATTTTCCCTGGCTCTGAATAAAAAGTTACTGAAACCAAATAATGGACATAAGCCATAAGATTTATTGTACCATTCATCAGTTGATTGTTTTATGATAAATACAAACACTCAATTGTCACTTTTAAAGGTGCTTGGACACAGATTTGAAGTTAATAATTTATAAAATTTTCTGTATAATTTCATGACTTATATGTTGCTATAGCATTTCATACTAAAATATAATAAAAATCTTATTTCATCTCGAAGTTATTGAAACTTCAAATTTCTGGATGCGTTTGATTGACACATCCTTGCACTTTCACAAATTTTAATTCTATTCTTAATACTTAAGGAAAGTGGCAATATTGTTGTGTATTAATGAAAAATATTAAAACTATAATCCAGAAAATTCAGAGTAGAAATGTTCGAAAGTAAAACCCACTCACAGTATTGTCAGTCCGTGCTCAGTGGTGTGTACAGACTTCAACAATTGAACACACTCGGTGAATTGTAAACATTAACAATAACAGAGCTCGTGCCCTGTTTACAAAAAACAGTTTACGTTTCACGGGTGTATTCAATTTGTTAAACTCTGTACACAACACTGAGCAAGGGCTAACGATATTAGTGAGGGGGTTTGCTTTCGCACATTTCTACTCTGAATTTTCTGGATTATAGATGTAATGTTTTTCATTAATACACAACAAAATCGCTTCTTTTCTTAAATATTAAGGATAAAGATAAAATTTGTGAAAGTGCAAGGATGTGTTAATCAAACGCGTCCAGGAATTCAGAGTTCCAATAATTTCCAGATAAAATAAGTTTTTAATTATATTTTCGTGTGAAATGTTATTGCAATATATAAGCCGTGATATTATACAGATAATTTGAGAAAATATTAACTTCAAATCTGTGTCTAAGCACCTTTAAAGATTGGGACATGTATTTACTAGGTCACCTAAACTTAATCTTTCTTTCAAGTTTCTGACCATAGCCATAGTCAGTTTCAGGGAAGATATATAACTGTTTCATTTCCAGAATAACTCTTTCAGGTAAGTCGAAGAAAAATAAATTGTGAAAGTCCAACTTGATTTCAACAAGATGCGTGTTTTATTAGACTTCATTTATATTATGTAATAGTTTACCTTATAACTTGGTAGAAAAAAACTTAACTGCTTGATTGAGAGACCCACCCCCAACAGCAATAAATTAAATCATCTACCCATACCCTCAAGTATGTACAAAGAACCCACATACCAAAAGAAAAACATTAAATTAATGCCCAACCCCCCATAATTTTTACTGCCCTAGCTAACACTGTTCCAAAATCCCCCCCCCCCTTTTTTTTTAAATTAAATGGATGTCCCTATGTCTGTCCTGGCTAACATTGTTCAATTTAGGTTTTTTTCTGCAAATAAATTTTTCAAATGGATGAAATAAAACATTTCATAAATTGGTAAAGTTTAGAAATCAGTCACAATATATATCTTCATATTTTCAGACCTGAATAAACTGGCACTAAATGAACAAAACTTATGCATCACCATACTATGCATATAGCACATTCTCTTGGAATTCTGAGTTTAAAAATTGATTATTTGTAAAAAGCTAAACCAGAGAGAGCCAAAATAATAAAAGGGACTTTACCTGTGTAGCACAAATAACTGGCTTTCCTGCCTTGTTACACTTTCCAATAATCATTTTCTGGGCCAGGAAGACTTTTTCTGGTGAAATATTGATGCCAAGATTTCCTCTGGCAATGTAAAGGCCATCTGCTACCTCCAAAATCTCATCAACTCTGAAAGAATTCAATTCACTTCAGGCAAATATTGTAAAATATTCATAAGATTAAGAAAATTAATGCATACATTTTTGCTGAGTTATTATTCATCAAATTTCACCAAAAGCAAATAAGGATAAATATGATACATTGAACAAATGAAAATTATTCAACAGAGTGAAATGGTTTTTAACACATGCATTTAGAAACTATGAACCTGAAGAATTTCAAGTTCAGTATGATATTTACATTTACTGAATATTTTCTTTTATTTCCTATTGAAAACCAATTGCCGGTGATCAATTAATAAACGCAATCAACTTCTAAACTATTTAGATCCTATCAAAGTCATAAGTCATGAATGAATTCTTATGCTCTTGAAGAATTTAATACACTTCTCAAAGATATTTCTGAATGTAAAGATACATGATGCACAGTGCCTTTGAAAATAAAGGTTATAGGGCAAATTCACTAAAATGATGACATGGTTAAAGGACTCAAATTTAAACTCCAACCAAAATCAGAGAATAAATAGTAAAAGTCCCAGGCAACTATTGTCAAAAATGTGCTTTTACATGTTAACTGTAATACACTGAAAGTATTTGGATTTTTTTTTCTTGCATGGAAAAAGAGACTCCTTTGACTGTTTGAAATCAGAAGATTGGGTCAAAGCTAGAAAAGTTTGCTTCCATTTAAATGCCTTCATAAAAAATACTCTAAGATTTCTTTTGGTTGATGATGAGCTAAATGCAACTGATAATCACAAAAAGGACCAGACAAAATTTGGAGGACAAAGGCAGATAACAAAAAGGTCAGGAAACAGACAAGTTCAGTATTACATTCTCAAGTCATATATAAGGCAGGGTATAAAAAAATCACATTCAATATATAATTTATTTCTTATAGTTGCAAATATTATGATCACATACATACACTCTGCATGTATGGATATACAGATGAGATGTGAAGTTAATAAACAGTAGTCATGCTCATAAGACACAAACACAGACCCTAGAATAGTCAGGGGTGAGATCAGGTGCCATGGTGGAGGAAGCATCCCCTGTTGACTGGTCACTTTAACAAGGTCATTGTATCAAAAATAGAATTTACAAAATGTTGACTTTCAACAAGTTTGTACCCTTGTATCATCAACTTATTTATCAGAAGCATGTATCCTTTTAGAAACTGTTTGTACCTAGAACATGCTCTTTTATATTTAATCCACTGGTGAATGTGTGTAAATGCAATTATTTCAATTCAGTATCTGATAGTGATATTCTTTTTATGAATATAAATGTATTAGTTTTGGTATATCTTAAAATTTATAAGTTGAATTATTCATACATGTATCTATTTACCATTTTACAGAAATATTCTGTATATAATTATGCACAAGACAGATCATTGTCTATTTACCATGAACACACACAGTGACTGACGTAACGTTTTGCTATTTTTAAGACGGCTTAATTACCAAGATTACCATTTCAACTAATTCATACAATTGTCATTTGAGCCAGCTACATTAACAGTTCTTTAAACAAGAAAGTACATGACCTAGAAAAATAAACCTTGTCTTAACCTTGAAAGATGTACTCTAACATCTCTATCAAAACAGTATTCCATATAATAAACAAGATCTTAATTATCCTGCCTAGACTGCAGAAAATTGATGTACTAATCACATACCCTAGTATTATAAACTAATCCTACCATCAATTTGAGATCTTGAGATATTTCTGTCTAATATTGCTTCCTAATGTAGGTGGATCTGTTTTATCAATCTGAATCCTTAATTTTAAAGTGAGATAGTCATTTATTGAACACTGTAAATTTTCAGATTTTTTTGTGGTTATTTTTAATGAAATATTCTATTAAATATGGAATATTAGAAGACAAACATTATAGTAGGATAATAAATTCAAAATGTAGGTAAACTGGCATTTTTGTGATTCCCAAAATCCATCTAATTCAAAAGGTTCAGGAATTTGAGCAGACAATTTGGAAGTTTATCATATGACCTTGAGTTAAGATCATGACATATAATGCTTAATAGTTTGCCAACACAATTAAGTTTGAATTGATTCAAATCAAGCAATGAAAGATTTGTGCCAAATCCAAATATTTCCTCAAAGACAACAATACATGTACATATCCAAAATGGGAAAAGTCAACAAGAGGCCCATGGGCCACTACGCTCATATTGGCTAGGAAAAAGCAGAAATCAGTTTAGTATTAAAATGCTTAAATATATAAGTGATCGCCCCCCCCCCCCCCCCCCCCCCCCCGTAGGAAATGGGGGCATGATTTGTTCACATTTGATTCTACTCTAGCTGCATGATCCACATTTCTTTGACTTATCATGGCTTTAGAAGATTTTCTTTCTATATTTGATCTTCTATTGTGGCCCCGCCCTACCCCCCATGAACATGATTTGAACAAACTTGAATCTACACTACATGAGGATGCCTCTGAATTAAAAAGACTAATCATGGATTTGCTATTCTTGGGAACAAGATTTTTTACAATTTATCCTATGTACATTTTGAACTTCGGTATCTTGAACACTGATATCTCAAATACCATGGATCCATATGTCGAAGTGATTTGGAAGTTCCAACCTCTTATTTCTTAAGTAATTTACCCTGGATATCTCGAATCCTTGGATATCTCGAAGTTTTTTCTTGGTCCCGTCGAGTTCAAGATAATGAAGTTTGACTGTATTTCCATTTAAAACTTTCTATCACCAGTTGTGGCCCCTCCCTACCCTCCAGCATCATGATTTGAACACACTTGAATGTAAACTTCCCGAGTATGCTTCCATATAAATATGTCTTATCTTGGCTTTGCTGTTCTTGAGAAGAAGATTTTTAAAGATTTTTCCTATGTATCCTATGTAACAATGTGTTTGCCCATTGTGGCCCTACCCTTTCCCTGGAGGTCATGATTTAAACAAACTTTAATTTAAACTATGTCAGGAAGTTTTCACCTAAGTTTCATCTTTTCTGACCCAGTGGTTCTTGAAAAGAAGATTTTCAAAAGACCCCACCCAATTTTTACTTTTTCTTAATTATCTTAATTTTCTTAATTATCTCCCCTTGGAAGACGGTGTGACACTTTATTTTAAAAAAACTTTAAATCCCCTTTACCCAAGGATACTCTGTGCCAAGTTTGGTTGAAACTGGCCCCAGTGGTTCTGGAGAAGAAGATAAAATTGTAAAAAGTTTACGACAACAATGACGACGACAACAACAGATGAGCTTAAAATGATTAAGTCTCCTGCCTTAATCAATTATTTTGTGAAAAAATGCAATTTTTTTTTCATTTGTTCTCCACTGGAAAAACAATTCTGACCCTAATACTGGTTTGAGTTTCTAATTCAATATCTCACACACTCAGATATCTCAAATTTTTTTGATAGTCCTGTAACATTTGAGATGTAGTGAAGTTCAACTTTAAATTAAAAATTAGAATTGTACAACAAATCATGCACAAAGGAGACAACTTCAGCTTTTGTGCCTCATTTACCTCTTCACCGCTGTTTTAGTCTCGATTTTGGCCAAGATCTTCATTGTTTTGCCCTTCTCTCCCAAAAATTTTCTGACTTCTTCTACCATTTCAGGACTACAAATCCAAGAGGCAAAAACCATGTCCAGCTACAAAGAAAATGATTCATTTAAATGTCTGAGTTAGATGTTAGCATGAACATAAAGACGTTATTGTTGGATGATGTTAACTTTATGGTCAAGATCTAGTAAATGAGTTTAGACTGTCTTTTTGCACTAGATCCATTATAATGTCATAATTGATGTCAACTTACATGTACTTTTTCCCGTACTTTATGGCTATAACAGAATTATGTAGAAAATGACACATTTTCATGGAATTCAATTTGAAAAGATGTTCAAAAGTAACCCCAATACCTATATTCAATTAAATATCATGTTAAAAAAGAGGTTTAGAAAATATAAAAAACCCTTTTCTGAGAGATTGTAGGCAATATTGATACATTTCCTTTGTCTGAGATGGATTGATTGATTGATTGTATGTTGTTTTATGTCAAGTTCTTGAATTTTTCACTCATATAGAGACATCACCATATCCCGGTGAAGGGCTTCAAATTTTGACCTGTACTCAGCACTCAGGGTCATTGAGCAGTGAGGGTCTTGCAAATGCCTGCCGTGACAAGGGGCCTTGGTTTTAAAGGTCTCATCCGAAGGACCTGCAACTTTCACTTCAAAAAGCCGAAGAAACAGTTGCTACCTATTTTGTATCGACTAAGGTCAGTCACAGCTGTGATTCGAACACACGACCTTCCAATCACGGAGTGACCGCTCTACCGACTGAGCCACTTTAACAGTGCTTGTCTGAGATGCAGAAAACCCCCATTTTTATATCTGATTTTCTTCATTTTTCATTGAAAAGGGCAGTTTAAAATATACTTTTTTTCATTGAGTTTACCTAAAAATTATGTCCCAATACACCTTAATGTATTAAGCTATAATTGTACTTAATAATGGACTCTTAGAGGAATTTGTTTCTCAAATTTGAAGACTCTGTAGACACTTTTCATTTACTAGATATTGACCTTAAGGACATTATAATCTCATAAGCATTCAAAGGTACTTGGTTGCTCTAAATAAACTGTGTTTCTGTATTCTTTAGCATTAATCAATAAAAGTTACAAAAATGAAATATTCCCTTTTACATATATACTTCTGTAAATGTGGAATTTTAAAATTCACAAACAATTGTATATGAGTAGGAATATTTTGCAAAGAAGTCCCTATGCATATAATTTCATTAGTACATGTATTTGTATACAAGTCCTTGTAATTTCCATAATTACATACTGGAATTGTGGAAATAAGTCTTGAAAGTTTTCCATGTGTAGTCTATCAATTTATTCCATAGCAATCTGATTTACATCAGATTTTTGAACTGCTCTAAAATTTTATACAAAGTGACATACTCAAAAGTGAGAGCAAATCAAAGATGATTTACTACAAAGAAAAAAATAAAGTGCCCCGCCACAGCGTGATACGCCCTTCAAATATTGTTCAATTGTCATAAACAGTTAAGAGTGCAAGAAAATCATGTCAACCTTGACACAAGGATTTCAATGATTTTTCCATTCCTTATTATATTTGTTTATACATCTCCTGTGGTGTAGGCATTAATTGTAACAAATATTACATTATAGATCCTCAACTGGTCGTGTTAGAAGTTGACAAATTCCCATCTGCAGCCCCCCCCCCCTCCCCTCCCCCAGCTTTCAGATTTTTGAGACATGATGCTCTGAATTAGTTGATATTTTCCAAAAATTAAATAAAAATATCATATTAAACAATATCAATTTAGTCTTAACAACTTAATCTATATCAAATTAATATTAAAAATAAAAGGCTGGCCATCAAATGACATATGATATAAACTTACAAGCAGTTCTAGAGCTGCTTGATCAGAGATCCTCTAAAAGAAATGATTGAGACAGCTAGCCTTCCCACACTGAACTCTTTAATTAATCTTTAACTGGATGCATGTCCACTCATTACTCCCAACGGATGAATGGATCTATACATACTATCTGCTTTGTAGTGCAATAAAAATGCATATTTATGTCATTCTGAAATTAAATTTGAAAACAAAGATTTTTTTAAAAAAATTTGTTACAAAGATTTTTAAAAAGAAAAAAAAAATGTGTAATCTTCATGGAACATTTTTAATAAGGTTCCTGCATTACTCTTAGATTTGTAGGGACTATCTACCATAATTAAAACTTTTTTTTTTGAATACTTGATTTATTTAGATTTAATGTCAGACTGGTTTTAAGCTGCAATTCATTCCAATATCCCCCCCCCCCCCCAGCATAATTAGTTTTAATTATATTATACAATATCAAATTACTTTATTATACAATATCAAATAAATTTATTATACAATGTCAAATAAGTTTTAATTACTTTTCACCAAATTCATTTTAAAAGTTAGGCTAGCCAACTATTTAATCCAACACCGCTGATTCTGTTTGTCCAGTTCCCAAGAGATATAGATAACACCTGCTAGATCAGAGATCTACCAGTTCTACCAGTTAGCTCCTCACACTAAACTCATTAATTTCTCTCTAATTTGATGTGCAATTTTCTGTTATCAAATTCTCCTTGACCAGTGCTTGATAATTACACCCCGGGAGAGGTGGAATTTCTCTTGTAACATTACATTTGTTATAGATTGCTGTAAAGTATATAATGAAAAAAATAAGTATTTTCTTGATTTAACATTTTTTTTAATAAGGATACTGCAACACTCTTGCATTTTTTGGGATTGTGTAATCTAATAGTAAAAAGACAGGGGTTTTTTTTTGTTTTTTTTTTTTAAATTTCACTTAAATTGAAGGTCACAGTGACCTTGAAATAGGTCGCGACACATCTTCTATCTAAGATGCATAAATTGGCCAAGTTTGATGATTCTAAGTCCAACAGTTTCCTAGTTATGAGCCAGACAGGATTTTTCCATATTTGGCCATAGCATCTTAATTAAAGGTCAGAGCGACCTACTTTTATTGCACAACACACCTTCTACCCAAGAAGTATCAGCTGACAAAGTTTGATAATCCTAGGCCTAATAGTATTAAAGTTATGGGCCGGACACGAGAAAAGCTAACAGACAGACAGACGGACAGATGGACGGACATGAACGCCATAACATAATACTAGTATATTACAACAGTAACTATCATAATGTTATCTAAATTTATACCATGTAAACTGTCTGGAATAAACTGAAGACTGACATTTTTGTTATCAGGAAAATAAAATGGTGGCAAATTGACATTATTTATAAAGATAAACATTTACACATGTATACATCATAATTATATCTCTACACTCACATCATTATCAAGAGCAAATTGCAGATCTGCCTTGTCCTTGTCGGATAGCTCCGCCTCCCTCATTGCCATATTAGGAATTGTCCACATCATGTGACTTCCTAGTTCACCTGGCTCCACCACTTCACAATCCACATAATCTTCTCCTAATCCATGAAAAAACAAGATGTGTTTGTGAAACACTGATGCCACCATATGGCAACTTATAGTAAAGGTTAAACTTTCTCAAATGCAAATCAAATATGTTGGTACCCAAAGTAATGTCTTGTCTCAAGGAATAAACCTGTGAAATATGAAAGCCCTAGCAGCAAGCATTGAATAGATATGGAAAAGGTTAAAGTTTTTTCAAAAGGATGTCAAACATCAAGGTCAAGGTCAAATGGTCAAAATTAAGAGTGCCCAAGGAAAGGTCTTGTCCCAAGAAATACACAGGTGAAATATGAAAGCTGAAGCACCAATCATTCAAAAGATATGACCAAGGTTAAAGTTTTCCACAGTGGGTCAAACTCCAAGGTCAAGGCCAAATGGTCAAAGTTGTTTGTATCCAAAGAAAGATCTTGTCACAAGGATTACACATGTGAAGTATGAAAGCTCTAGCACCAACCATTCAAAAGTTATGGCCAATGTTAAAGTTTTCCAAAAATAGGTCAAACTCCAAGGTCAAGATCAAAGGGTCAAAGTTGTTGGTATCCAAAGAAAGGTCTTGTCATAAGGATTACATATGTGAAATATGAAAGCCAAAGCACCAATTGTTCAAAAGTTATGGCCAAGGTCAAAGTTTTCCAAAAGTAGGTCAAACTCCAAGGTGAAGGTCAAAGGGTCAAAGTTCTTGGTATCCAAAGAAAGACCTTGTCATAAGGATTACATATGTGAAGTATGAAAGCCCTAGCTCCAACCATTCAAAAGTTATGGCCAAGATTAAAGTTTTCCAAATGTAGGTCAAACTCCAAGGTCAAGGTCAAAGGGTCAAAGTTGTTAGTATCCAAAGAAAGGTCTTGTCACAAGGATAACATATGTGAAGTATGAAAGCCCTAGCACCAACTGTTCAAAAAGTATGGCATAGGTTAAAGTTTTCCAAAAGTAGGTCAAACTCCAAGGTCAAGGCCAAATGGTCAAAGTTGTTTGTATCCAAAGAAAGATCTTGTCACAAGGATTACACATGTGAAGTATGAAAGCTCTAGCACCAACCATTCAAAAGTTATGGCCAAGGTTAAAGTTTTCCAAAAGTAGGTCAAACTCCAAGGTCAACGTCAAAGGGTCAAAGTTGTTAGTATCCAAAGAAAGGTCTTGTCACAAGGATAACATATGTGAAGTATGAAAGCCCTAGCACCAATTGTTCAAAAAGTATGGCATAGGTTAAAGTTTTCCAAAAGTAGGTCAAACTCCAAGGTCAAGGTCAAAGGGTCAAAGTTGTTGGTATCCTATGAAAGGTCTTGTCATAAGGATTACATATGTGAAATATGAAAGCCCTAGCACCAATTGTTCAAAAGTTATGGCCAAGGTTAAAGTAAAGTTAAGGTCAAGGCCAAAAGGTCAAAGTTGTTGGTATCCAAAGGAAGGTCTTGTCACAAGGATTACAAATATGAAGTATGAAAGCACTAGCACCAATTGTTCAAAAGTTATGGCCAAGGTTAAAGTTTGGTAAAATGTTGCTAAACTGGGTCAAACTCCAAGGTCAAAAGGTTAAATATGGTGGTACCCAAAGAAAGGCTCTGTCACAAGGAATACACGTGAAATATGAAAGCCATAGCTCCAACAAATCAAAAGTTATGGGCAAGGTTAATGTTTTTGCAGACAAACAGACAGACAGCTAGACAGACAGACGGACAGGGCAAAAACTATATACCCCTGAATCTTCGATACAGGGGAATAAAAAAATAGATCCATGAGCCACAACACTCACCTTAGTCACTTTTGCCCTGTCGTTCTTCATCAGCAGATTTTTTTTAATTCCCCACTTTAATTTCATACAAAATTTTGACTCCATATTGTGGACAAAAGGGAGCTTGATTTAATTAATTAATTTTAAATCCCCACAGCATTGAGTTGTTTTAATATATTCATGGCTCTGCTGTTCCGGAGAAGATTTTTTTCTTGTACACAAACACCATGTAAAATTTGATGTCTGATTTTTCAGCCCAACCCTAACCCCATTAGTCATAATTACCCCCCCCCTCCCCCCGATTTCACACAACATTGTATGTTTTGCTTATAAATATGATTTAGAGTGGTCCTGCCACTCTCGGAAAGATTACTTCCTACATACTCCTATGTAAAATGCTGTAGGCTCAGCCTATTTCCAAAGACTCCAATTTGAAAAAAAAACAAACTTGAATCCATGTAAACTACCTGAGGATAATTCCTTATTAACAAGACAAATAAAGGCTTTGCTGTTCATGGGAGGGAGAATTTTTAAGATTTTTCCTATATACAGTTGAACTTTGTACCTCAAATATGCTATCTCTAATACCATGGATATGACAAAATGATTTAGAAGTCCCAACCTCTTATTTTGTACCGGTAATATTTTACCCTTGATATCTCAAATCCTCAGACATCTTGAGGTTTTTTTCTCAGTCCCATCTAATTTGAGATAATGAGGTTTAACTGTGTGTCAAAGTTATTTTTCCTATTGTAGTCCCACTCTACCATAGGGGCCATGCTTTGAACAAACTTGAATATAAACTACCTGAAGATGCTTCCATAAAATACAACTTACCATGGCTTTGCTGTTTTTTTTTTCCTACATACATATATTCCTATCTGATTGCCTATAATGTGGTCCCACCCTTTCCACAGGGGTCATGATTTGAATACTTTCTGGAAAGTTTGGTTGAAATTGGCCTAGCAGTTCTAAATTAGAAGTAGAAAATGTTAAAAAGTTTACAGATGGAATGGCAGCTAGACACACAAAGACGGATTCCTGACAAAATGTGACAAGAAAAGCTCACTTAACCTTCAACTCAGGTGAACTAAAAATTAGTAAAAGACCCAGTCAAATCAATTTTTTAAAGGTACCATCAAAGACTGAAAAACAATTAATTCTTACGTAATGCTACTCACCTTTTTCTTTGATGGTGAATGCTAGGGGCCCATCCTCAATGATCACATTACTGCCAGTTGAAATCTGGGAGAAAACCTCAGCTGCCTCAAAATACATGATGTTCTCATTTCCATTTTCTTTGTACTTCTCATCAATGGAAAATCTCATCATATCACCAGTTTTCATTTTCAGTTCTTGACCGAGTCCCACTTCCTAGTTAGGAAAAGAAATAATGATCTAAAGAAACCAAAACCTCAGACATTTTGAAATTTATTATGAAAGTATGAGTTAGATTTAGGAAGCAAGTTTATGCTTTTAAAAGGAAAATCATTAATGATAAAGAAACAGATGCAATATTGAATAACCTTTATACACTCAAAAAAAATTAAAAAAAAAATCTTTATAACTTGGATAAAAAAAGCTGACACAGCTTTTCTTGTTCTTTATTGCACATATATATATTTGAAATTAAAGTTATTTCGAAAATCTGTATACAAAAATTTTAGTTGAAAAATTATAAAGAATTTGATTTCTGCAGAGTATAGAAAAAGGTTTTTCACTAATACACATTCACTCCCAACAAATGGGCCCCCCTTGATATTAATTACCTTAGCTAGAGCTCCTACTCTAATTCCAGTGCCTGTTATGTCAATCCCAATACCCACTTGTAAAGGGATATCCAATGATGCCTGGGCCTCACGAATCCGTTTCACAACTCCTTTGAAATACTATATTTTGAAAAGGAAAGGAATCATATAAAAGGTCAAAGAAAAACTCTTTGTGCAGTGCTTGAAAATTTCTGTACAGTGTTATATTAAGAATGAGCTTTATAATGCCTGGGCAAGCTATTATGGCGCTGAATATTCTTCAGTATCACTTAATATATGGTTCATTGATTCAACATGCTCCAAAATTTAAAAAAAAAACTGGCTTTAACATGAAAAGTATTAAAATTGCACTTAAGGAAATCAAAATAATTGCAGCATTTAATTTTTCACTGAGATCTCTTCCAATATGTATGTTTCAACTTTTTAAGTATAAAGCTTACATCATGAGTCCTATACGCAAGATTCAATCGGCAAATTGTCATGCCCGTCATCATCATTTTTCGAAGAACTTCCACAGAATCACATGCTAGACCTGTTGAAAACAATATTAACTAAATTCTTAGGTCAACACACAGACACCCTGTACATGCACCTAGTATAAAACATGTCTGACAGACTTAAGAAAGAATATCCCCACAGACCTATTGTTCCGATGATACTGGTCAATCTGGCCTTGGCAACAGGAGCATCAATTTCAAGGTTACAGATCTGCTCCAGTCGGGTGTTGGACTGATGCCTTCTGGACAGCATTGTTACAGTTATAAACTATCCAAAATAAAAAAGTGTACTCATAATCTGAAAAATAATTCCAAAAAAAAAAAAATTATATTTTTCTATGAAGATTTGACTATGGAAAAGTACACAATAATATCCCTAGAGTTAAGGAAAACTCTCTGTAGATAAGTGCACATGACGTAGTTAAGTCAAGAGCTGAAAGAGGAAGATATATAATTTGGTAAAAGATAATACTGATCATAATGTGAATCGTGTAACTTACTAGTAAATTGTATAGAAGATGAATTACATTTCTTCACTGATTGTCCTTTGGGCCCAAAATTGGAAAAAACTTAATTTATCTTATCTGTATATTTCTATGTATGTTCTTTTCTAAACAGATTTTTGATATATATGAACCAAAATATGACAGAAACAATTTTGTGTACAAGGGAAAACACAGGTTTATACAACTTGTTACAAAATGTAATTCACTATTTTCCCTATCCTGGAGGCCATATATAAAACACAATAAATTCCTGCTTAGATTGGTGAAATTATTAGTCATACATGTGCAAGAGTACATTTCCGTTGTGCCAACATCAAAAACAAGCCTGTAAATTGTGTGTGTATGTGTGTGTTTTTTAACCATGTTAAATACAATTTTAAATGTACAGATTTAGTTTTAGGTTTCAGAATTTAGCAATCATACTAAATTTATACTTATGCTTAGAGGATAAAAAAATCTAGTTTGATACTGCACTGCAGCTAGCTATTTCAGTTTGGAATTTTATCCGAAATTTATAAATTAAAAAAAAAGTTTGCAGCTCCTTTCATGTTGGATTACACTTTCGTCTTCATTACACTTACTCTAAGATTTTAATTTATTGCAATTTGTTTGTGATGTCAGGTATTTTTCAAATAATGAACACTATGGCCCTGCTGTTCTGTTCTTCATCAGGAAATTTATACCCTGTAAATTCCTGTTTATTAGAATTTAAAACTTTGATTGCATACCTATTATGGCCAAATCCAGCCCCCCCCCCCCCCCCCCCCCCCCCCTGGGGTCAGGATTTGAACAAATTTGAATCTACACTACCTGAGGATGCTTCGATACTAATAATTATAATCAATTGCTGTCCCTGAGAAGGTTTTTAAAGTTTTTTCCCCAATATATTCCTTAGGCCAAGAGAAATTTTAATTGCTTCTTGTGACCCCACCCTACCCAAGGGGCCATGATTTTAACATACTTGAATTTAAACTTCCTGAAGATTTTCCGTATTAATATGACTTATCATGATTTTGCTATTCTCGAAGAAGGGGGTGTCATTTGGGCGAAGAGTTTCAAACTGTACAGAAAGCTGGGGTTTTATTTGGAAAAAAGCTATTTACATTGGATATATTGGGAATATTTTAGCCTGGATAAGTACTAGGACATCATTTGCACTACTGCATATAAGGATTTATATAAATTTTCTCAAGTAAGTTGTTTTTTGACTTAAATTGTTTACAAATCGTGTGCTACTTTCGATTCTTCCCTTGTGTATTTTTAAATGTGTAGTGGAGAACAGAGCAGATATAATGCCCCTGCATATAAACTATGTGTGTACCAAATGAGTTCATGAAGATGGGAAGTGCCTATACCAGTATACTACAGTAATTACTCTGATTTTTATTTTTATGCATATTTAAGTAGTATATGCTACATTAGCTGCAGAACTGTAGCATTATGGTTTTATATGTTAGTCTTTGGCCATAAGGCTACAGATCCCATTATGCAAATATTGTGCAATTTATGGCGCTAGATTTTCTGCACACTTTGGGGTTGTATTAAACCACTTTCCAACATTGGTCAATCAGCTACCTTTCATTCCCTAATTCTAGACATATTCTATAACCATGATAACCATTATGTATATTTTATCCATCTCCCAACCCTTTCTAGTTGTCTCTACAGACCAATAAACTAGCTTGTTGTGAATTTTATGCCATCCAACTACAAATTCACAACAACCGAGTTTATTGTCAGTAGAGACGACTAGAAAGGGTAAGGAGGTGGATAAAATATACAGGTTGGTTACAGAATATGTCTAGAATTAGGGAATGAAAGGTTGTTGATTGACCAAAGCTGAAAGGTGGTGAAATGCATCCCCAAAGTGCGCAGAAAATCTTGTGCCGTAAATTGCACAATATTTGCATTATGGGATCTGTAGCGTTATGGTCAAAGACTTAAATATAAAACCATAACGCTACAGTTCTGCAGCTAATGCTTCATGTACATGGACAAATTTACATGTATGTTTAAGTGAATGGAAAGGCTATCAACAAAATAAAACTGTGCACAAAGAAAACAAAATTATGCACTCAGTACTCACAAAAACTTATTGAAACGCAAGTAGGCATAGCCAAATAGCATGTACAGACGTATGCGTCATTTGGGTGTAATGGCAGGTGCCCTTAGTTGAATTGTTTGACTTTATGTCATTTTCTGGTTTCATCACCAAGGCAAAATAAATGGATTTTTAAATTACTTGCAAACCAAATCTGCTGTAAACATCTCAACTTGCCATTTATATTGACCAGTGTTTAGATTAGACAGACTAACCTGAATAAACTTCCCCGAAGGCCAAGAGCAAACGATGTACGTTGTATACCAAACCCGATGTTAATTGAGTGTACTGACAAGACTTTCAGCACATTCTTGACGATATTCTAGACAATATGAAAAATTATATGTATTTTGGTAGAACAGATTGACTAATCAAGCAGGAACACTTTCTCGAAGAGAAAATGTCAACATTTCTTTCCTAAAGATAAATACATCTGGCTATCATTTATTTATTTATTTATTTATTTATGCAATTCTCATTTTTCGCAATGTGCTGTTTAATATTGACACTCGTAAAACTAAATATTGAGCGGAGGGATGTGTGTTTCCTGAAACCCCCCCAAATCCGCCACTGTTAATTAATTGATTTATATATCACATCTTTATTTATTTCCGAACGACCTTTCCCGTGAAGGCCAATTAATTCACTAAAAGGCATATCAATTGAAACTTTATGTACGCACAATTATTTATATGTAGGAATATATTTATTTATATGTAGGAATATGTATGTACAATTTACAACGTGAAGAGTGAAAATTTTGCAAATGGAAGAAAAGAGCAAGAATATCTCTCTAGCGACAATTATGCAAATGTTTGTACCACATATTGTCGTCGATGGCAATACATGAATGTTTGTGCCCAAATGTGAGGTAATGTCCTTCCATTGGAAGGGGGGTTGTGGTCGTCTCAACACTTTTTGTCGACAGTGTCAATGTGTACAAACAATGGACGATAATATTGGCAGTGACGAAGGGAATAAATTATCACAATTAATATGTTCTGGCGACAAAATTTACCCTAACAGTATTTCCTAGGAAAATGTTTTGTTTGTTTGTTTTTTTTTTTTTATACAAAAAATGTTCATTTACAAAAGAAATTCAAATATACATCTACAATGAAAAAGGTGAAGATAACAATCAACTATCATCTCACAAATCTTGCAGACAATACGAATCGTGAAAAGGGTAAACACATACCCCTGGAATCACCAGAGAAACATTTAAAAATATTCTGTCGATCGAACACACCCGTCGTGAGCTGTCTGTATTGATCAGGTATACGGAGAAATCCATAGTTCACATTAGTATACTAGTAAAACAATGGCCTAAAAATTGGTCTGAATTGGTCAATCAAAGTACGATTCAACGATAAGTTGTATTTGCAAACAAAGTTATTATCAGAATTGGTAAAATGCTGACTTAAAACGAGACTGTAGAAAGTCCTGTAACATTAATTTATTTGACAGTAGCCTGACTCCATTTTTAAGGTGATCTTCTTCAAAACATGCTCTTACTTACTGAAACAGTTGGGGGACTTAAACACCAAGTGCAGGTGAAAGTGGAATGTTATTACGTAAATAGGGCTGAGAGGTCAATGATGGAAAAGCTGAGGTAACCGGTCCCGTTTGTAAAATAGTTTAGTCGTTAGTTTGCCATTAACGTCTATACGTCAGTATATACATGTGCACATTAATAGAACAGATGTTCTTTCTTTTATGTTGAGTTTTCAGGGATATATCGAGTCAATATATGAATGAAAATAACTTGTTTTGAAATTGTTATTCCGAAATGAACATTTTTTCCCGAGACGATTACCTCTGTTACATGGTCTATGAGAGCTATTGTCATTACTTGGACTCCATGCACTATGCAATCCATTGTCTCTGTAGATTTCTTCCATAAACATTAGAAAAATTCTAAGTTCACCTGAACTATGATATTTTTTATTGAGATCTACCATGAAAGTTATGAGTTCGTTCTGCAAATTAAAATGATTCAGTCAATGAGAAAAACTTTGAATCTTCTATTTTGGTCTCACCCATGAACAGAATCATTTTGATAATTCAAAATTTCTGTAGTACTGTGGAAAGACCAAAGGTGTTCGAAGATTGTGTTTTTGGAAATATTTCCTCTACATATTTTCTATGTAAAGATTTTATCGTCTGTTATGGTCACATCATTATTTCGCGGATCAAAATTTTAACAAATTTGGATTATTTACTTCACGAGGATACTTCCACAATTATTTTTGAATGTTTAAAGATTTTATTCGTTTTTTTTTTTAAATTTACAATATTCTGTAAATATTTGAGCCTTTCACTGGTAAATAAAACACGTCATTTTAAATAGATATACAGTACCAAGAGTCTAATTGAAATTTAATGTATTTTACACTAAAACTGAGCAGTTTTGATTTTTCGGAAATTCGCAGGCTAAGTGAACCTTGTTCTTTGGAGCAGAGCAAGCACAGACTTCTAAAAAAATCGGAGGTGGGATAAGGTGCCATGGAGTAGTAAGCATTCACTATTGACCAGTCACACTCGATCGCCATTTTTGCTTTTGCAAACGGAAAAATCCCTAGACAAATTCAATGCAGGGTGAAAATTATTGTATATAACAATTTGTATGAAAAAACGTCAGTCAACATTCGCCTTAACTAAAGGATTGAATTTGCTCAACAAGATCATCCTGATGGTATTGACCATAGAGTATGCGAAATGTTGACCTTAAACGAGTTCATCAGACGTTTTTATTGAGGGGGCACAAGAATATAGTAGCTCTGTTTTCTATTGTAATCTATATATCGGCAAAATTATTGGGGGGGGGGGGAGGGCACGCCCCCCCGTGCCCCCCGGTTCCTACGGCCATGTCATGAATGTCTTTTCTAGTAAAATATCCAAATATAAACGGATGTGTCAGACTTTGTAGTGTCTTTATTTATATATTCATACCGGTATATTCAGTTGATGAAAAATCAAAATCTAATCAACGTAGGAATGGATATAAATATTGTTAATTAATAAAACGCCGTCGATATACCTAAAGGTCGAATTGAGGGTCAGAACAAGAGACTTCTTTTCATGTAGAAGTTTTCGAATAAATTTTGTTTCATATGAATACAACAAGGGATGCAATTAGTACCCATGAGAATTCCATCAGATTCTTGGAAGACTTGACCTTCAAAAACTACATTCACCTGTAGATATTGTCAATCGATCAGAAACTCAAGCATCTTTTTAATGTCAACTTCGGAGTGCTTGTGTGTAAAATCAGAAGTTTTTTTAACAAAATAATTTTGCAGATGACCAGTGACAAGGTATGTAAATTTATTAGTCTCATTTTAATTGAAAAAGCAGCTGTCTATGACTAAAAAGCCTGGACTTTAATTTATCGTGGGGAATGGTTGTATAAAATGTTAAAAAGTCTTATGTTTTGATGCTATTGAATTTGGTAAAGTTCCTTTGAGTTTTTAAGTATTCACATCAGTCATCTGATTAACCACCGCTTCTCAAATGTGTCCTTTCTCCTTCACTGTTGTTCATTTTTTGAGTGAAAAAAAGAAGCTTGGTGGAACATTTACTGGAACCCGCTATGTATCTTTGTTTGTAAGGATTTTTATGTAGTATAGGAATCCAGTATAGGTATGGTAATACATATTCAATTTGATTTTTGAGAATGTTAAAAAATGTTTAAAACTGATATAAGTTATGATTTTGAAGAATTTTATCCTTAGAAATGGAACAATCTTGCTTTTTCAGCTGGAACCAGTGCATATTGATCGTGTAATCTATCTATTTTTTTCACTTCTGAATTACTGAAGACAGAAGGATATAAATGCTTTCATATTGCCCCCACACCGTTTAATGCGAGATTCAACATCCATCTGATACTTTTAATCCATTCTGACAAAGTGTAGACCTGTAATTTTTTTTGAATATTTGGCTCATCGCCTTGCGTAATCTTCGACAGAATTCATAATATATGTATTTATGAAATTTTGACGCAAGTTGAAAGATCGGGGTTCCCTACATTTTGGCCCTTTTAAAAGGTCTGTAGGTTTTTGTTGTTGTTGTGCTTAAGGTCAGACGATACCTTCCTAAAAATATATAATTTTTTTCAAGAACTTGTCATTAATATATTGCTACCTATAAACAAGTTTCCTCACCAAAAAATGATGTACCATACCAAGCATTTGGGCAAGATACCAGAGGGTGACATTTCTTATATAATCCTTATGGGTAATCTTTTGAAATGCCAATGTCACAATTTTTGGTGTACTTATTTTATAAAACATATTGAAAACAATTTAGAAATCACAAGAGAATGACAATTATGAATATTTTTTGACATAATACCAATGTATACAAAACATATTTTTGAGGAATGTGTCGTCTGACCTTAAAAAGTTTGAAAGCAATAGTCAATAGATATTTGTAAGAAATACAGGTTGTAGACTTCAGCTTGAAATATTGTGGAATACAAGACTGGACCCTTTTGTCATTAAGAATATTACTAATATTTACTGCGTCAATTCCTTTACTGGCAAATTTAAGTTTAAGGAACAGACGGGTTACTTGAGCAGTATTCTCTTCCGTAAAACGTGGCGATTTATAAAGCCTTTGATTGGCAATTTCCCTAATCATGGATCCCAGCCTGTATTTTGGTGTCGAAGAATCCTAATATGGAATTTCCTTGGCCGTTTCAAATGTGATGAAGAACCAACTGCTTATTTACGTAAGGTAGAAGTGAAAAAATGGCAAAATTGTTGGGGGAGGGGGACCCCTGTGTCCCTGTTCCTACGGGACTGAATTTGCTTTGAAGAGTAAAATTACGTTTTAAATCGGACGAAAATTATTGCAAAATATGAATACTCTATAAGAAGTTTCCTTAAAACAAATGGGCTACACAAGTCATATACTTTTAACTTTTTAAGGTAATACATAAGGTTTGTAAATATATATGTACCTTCTGTCTGTTATATATATAAGGCATCAATATAAGAACAGCTTAGGTTAGCTTAGCCTGGTATGCAAATTGGCATTATTGACACGTTTTCAAATGTACACTGATACATAGGCAAGAACAGGACAGAAATCATTGCAAAATTGATTTGAGTTGAAAAACTAAATTGCACTAGAAAACGATAAAAAAAAAATCCCGAAAGAATAAGTAGAGGATGTTGAGATGGAGAAAATGTATATGATAGATTCGACACTTTCTGCAATGTGACGTTTGATCATAGATTATGGCCATGATTCTTCAGTCATTCACGTTTTAACTTCCAATCTATGAAATCTATCTCTGATGTTTTTAGAGGTCCGTGTTTGCTCTGCTCCTGATTTGTATTTTTCTATGGACTTTTGAGCTTGATTACTGTTCGTTATCTCCATATTTGATACATGTGTATAGCATGTTGCTCTTATCATGTATACAAAATATTCTTTTATCTTGGATTTTCTTTCTTTTTGTTAAAATTTTGTATCAATAGTAAATGCTTGTTCCTCGTTCACTTTTGTTTATCAATTCATACCATCATTGATTATTTATTGATTGTATATATTTTCTATAATTAAAAAATATCATTAATGGACGTTGTAAAATGAATTCAATATTGTGTTTCACTGATGATATAACTATTTTTAGTAGATGCAAATTCGTCTAATAATGGTTGGCAGTGTATAAAAGGTGTAATTTTCCTAATACAAGAGAATTTTACAACATATGTGAATACTACTATAGATCACTGTAGTTTCATAAAAATGCTTTATTTCTTTTCAAAACTTTATTTTTCTATAAATACTATAAAAATTTCCAATTAGATACCTTGAAGTATAAAGACATATTAGCATTTCTACAGCGAATAATGATAATACGAGAGGTTTTGTTCGCTTTTTCGATGATGACGATAAGTCTATTTATAGAAGTAAAATCTTCTAGATCCCCCTCTTCCTTGGCCACGCCCACCTCGTTTATGCTGCAGGGCATGAGTCTGATCTGAAAAAAAAAATCATAATGTTAACATTATTTTTATGGTAAAGTGAACAATATCTACTTAATTGCAATAACAGATATCCAGCCACTTGTGGAAAGTCCTTGTAAACCTTTTTTTTTCCACTTGAGTCCATTAGATTAATTTGACGGTTGTAAGGTATGGTTTGCTTACACAAAACGCAAGTTGAAAGAAAAAAACAACAAAGAATTATATAAAATTCCTAGTATTTTCGTAACTTGTTTTTGAACCATGACATTTTATTAGTGAAAAAAGCATTACTAGAATACCTTTCCAATTAACCATCTCATCAGGGTCTCTTAATTGATACCATTTGTTTAGAGCAATGTATAACACACAATTGATCTTTCGGTCACCTCTTAATTTTTTTTTATAATACCGTTTGAGGCTGTGACGTAGACGAACTTTATTTTAAAATGGTTTTTGGCCAGTCTTGAGATATACAAATGTATTTTACATTTTGATTAGGTCAATGATTAAATTCAAGCACACTACTATTATATTGAATTGACATTGAAGTGTAATAATATTAGTTTTGAAATCTCTCAAAATTTCATATCTTGTCATTGGTCATCTAAGATGGAAAGGGTGACGAAAACGAACATGCAGTGATCGATTTCAAAAAATCACAAATACAGATCTGTGAACAGGGCCCCTGGAAATTCCAGAGGAGGGATCAAGTGACTAGGAGGAGTTGGTATTCCCTGTCGACCGGTCACACCCGCCGTGAGCCCTAAGTATATTGACCAGGTGGACGAAAACATTCCGTAGTTATATTCAGTACAAAAACAAAGGCCTAATAATTGGTGGGAAAAATGTAAGCTAAAATGCGACCCTTTGATAGGTTATAATTGCTCACAAGGTTATTATAACGAACATAGAATTTACAAATTGCTGACATTAAACGAGGTTGTTGAAATCCCTATAACGTCAACTTATCTGTCAGTAGCCTTCCTCGATTTAAAAATTGATTATACCCTGAGCATGCTCTTTAGTATAGAATCAGTTGGGAGACGTAAACGTTATATGCGGGTGCTAGCAGAATTACTATATAAATAAGGAAAGTTTATGATGGAAAAACTAAAGTCATCTCGTTTGTCATACACATTAGTTGTTAGTTGGCCCTTATCGTCTATAGTCAGTAAACATCCAAATATGAAATAGATGTGACTGACTGTGGTGTCTTTTATTTCGAGATCACTGGGATATATCTTGTCAACATATGGATGGAAATACTATTGTTAATTGATAAAACGTGGTCAATATATCTAACTGTAGAGTTGATGGTCACAGCAAGTGTTTTTTCTTCTAATATAGAAGAGTTGAAAAAATTCAATATGCTTCATAGGAATATAGATATCATGTCGGTAAATAAAGGAGCATATTTAATGCCCATAGAAAACGTACTTTGTTATAAACAATTCTTATTCTATACACCAGTACTCTGAGATTGCTATCAAAGATACACTTGAGTTCCTCACTGAATGTATATTTTCAGACCAAGTCTTTCAATTCTCATGGTTACCAATTATGCCCCATTATTAACAGACCTGTTTTGTGCTCTTATGAAGCAGAATTTGTTCAAAAACTTCTACATAAAAAGAATAAGTCTCTTGCTGTGGCCTTCAATTTAGAAATATCTTTGACGTTTTATCAAATAACAATATTTAATTTCGTTCACACTTTGATTCGATATATCCCAGTGAATTCAATATAAAAAAAATCACAGAGTCGAGTCTGACAATCTGTTTCATATATGGATTCTTTACTAGAGGAAGACATTGATGGCAAATTAACAATAAAATTTTATGACACACGTGATGTCTTCATCTTTTCTATCGTCAACTTCACTTATTTATGTACATAATGTATAGTATTATACCGTTATAGCCTGTATATTTGGTTTATATCTACCGGTTGATTTGATACTCGAGGACATATTCTATTACGAACAATTTCTAATCCGAGGCAGGATACAAACAAACAAACTGATGAAACAAGAGTATCAAAAATTTCGTTTAAAGTCGACATTTCGAAAATTCTATAATTGAAACAAAGACCTTGTTTGCAAATGCAGTATAATGTTCGGTCGAATGTTGGCTGACGTTTTTTTCATATAAATTGTTAGGCTATTCTTTTCATATAATATTTTGTAAAGATTTCTCCCTTTATTTGATCATGACAAGAAGCACAAGGCAGGTGTGACCGGTCGACAGGGGATGCTTACTCCTCCATGGCACCTGATCCCACCTCTGATGTTTCTGAGGTCACAATTTGTATTGTTTAATTGTACCTTTAAGCATAGTTAATAGTCATTATCTTCACATTTCATGCTGTTAATATACTTGTATAAAATGTTCATATTTTGTGACATATTGTAAATACTTTTCCTTAATTTATACTTTGCTTAAAAAAGCTTTTTTATCTTCTGATAAATCTCATATACTCACCTTATACATATGTAATTATTGTAGTTGTAATATTAATTTTAAAAAGGTGGCTAGAATAGAAACTTGTTATTGGATGATAAAAGTTACTGTTATTAATCAAGATTTCTTTTATTTGTTGCTACATTTTGAACAACAATTTTATTATAATGGATCCTTTTATCCCCCTATTCTTAAAAAAAATAAGTACAAAACAAACAAAATATAAAGAAATTTTAAAAAAAATCATGAAAAAAAAATCTTTATACAATTGATCTTTTTGATAACTTTCTATCTTTTGAAGAGATTTTCTACGGTACCATTTTATTCAACTGACCTGCGCATTCGAATTCAAACACAGAGTCTGCCCTTGGGTCATCTCTCCGAGTTTTAGTCCAGACTGTTGAAGGAACCATTCCTATCTGACCATCTCCTGGGCACAGACAATTTATCTTAAAGAAAATGCTTCCATTCACTTTTTATTTGTATGTCATGACCTCCTCTCACACAAATCATGCATATTTATTTGATTTCTTGCATGACTTTCTCATGTTTCTTTCTGTCTGATATTGTTTTTTTGATACTTACAGAAAGTCCAGGTAATAATAATCTTTATCTTATAACATGTACTACATGTCAAGGAAAAAAAACTCTTAAAATCATAACACAAATCAACCGTTTATTGAATTTTTACTTTAAATGAATGGATTCGGCATGTAATATGCCAATACGTTTGTCTAAAAGTGGGTCATATTTCTATGTCTTAGTGTCGTAGTAAAAAGGTTTGGGAAATAAGAAGAAAACAAATCTGATTTTGGTAATCAGTTTCCATTAAGTTATTGCTATTTTTCTGCTACTTTCACTCTTAGGTCTCATGCATGTGTCATTTTATTTACTGCGTTTCATCATTGAGCTATTTACATATTAATTAGTGGTATAAGAACATTGGAGTTCGTTCTAGAGGTAGAGGAGCAGTTTTTAACCTTCATTTCATAAACCCAACCAAGTCTTAATGTGGTAGTAAGCTATCATATAAGATCTTACAACTTCAATTCATTAAAAGATAAAGAAACGTTTTAAACTTCCGAGCTTAATTGCATCTATATTTTTAGAATCAGAATATTTCATAAATACAATTGCAATGCTTCATAATCTAATTTCAGGATATTTTTATTAAAATACAACAAATGACTATTTTCATGAAATGGGATGAATCTAAATTATTCTCTTCCATTTTTTAAGCTCTAATTCACAGAATACAAGACACCGTGCTAATTAAATGTACAATGGATGCCTCATTCGACCATAATAATAAGTTATCTCCGACAATAATCATCGTTACATCTCTGTATCATATCTTGGTATCATTTTTCAAACTACTAATTGTTTTCTGTTTTCACTTTTGAAAATTGAAGACAATTTTAGGTTCCTTGTGCCAGAGTTCATGGGCTCAGAGAAACCCTTATCGATATTTCTATAAGAATAATCACTAGGTTTAACACTGATCCATTCCATCATTAATGGGAAATAGGGAGATGGACTTAAGCATGCTATTATTACTAAGGACTATCTGACCAGACATGTCTCTCAGTCTTTATACCGGTAGTTATCCTTCAGGGAGTTGATTGCAATTTAAAATTAATATTTCTATGCAGAGAATGTTGATTATATTATCAAAGTTTTTGTATATTTATTTATTTCTGAAGTGGCAACTTTATTTCTCTTTCTCCTTTATTATTTTTATTATATATTTCTCTTTACTTAATAAAGAGTGGATTCAGTCAATTGTACACAAAGAAATGTTGAAGTCACAGATTTAGAAACTTCAGCGGATTGACTCAGTTGGAAATTTTAGAAAAAATATTTTCTAGTTCAAAATAATTAGACCGTTAATGTTTTTACATGTATAAAACAATCCGAAACAAGTATGTTATCTAAGGCAGAAAATATATTAAAAAAAGGTCTACGATTTTGTCTTATACTTTTCAGCAGATGTCAATAAGCTTATCATTCCTCATGAAAAATGTAAGAAACACCAGTCCTCTATGATATTAAGGAAGAAAAACTGTCTCGATCGTATTTGGTGTCTATGGGATGATAAAGCACATAGATAAAAAAGCATTTATAAAAGCCCACAATTTTACAAACTTGCTCCAAATCACGCGACTGACTTTGAAAAATCCTGATAAATCATCTGCCTCGTTATGCGTCTATGGCAGGATAGAATTTTTTTTAACCTATAAGGTTATCATAGAAAAAAAAACTTAGTCTACTAAACCAAAAAGAAGTCTTCTATGGAAACGGTTTTAGATCTAAATTGAATATATATATACCTGTGTATATTTGAGGTAGCCAACATCTCGAACACCATTATACTGCTTTCTGGCCACTTGTCCTGGACGGCATTGTGGAATATCAGAGACAGGACGACACAGACCGTACCTAAATATCCAAAGTCACCTTTGATATCTCAAAAATACGAAAAATATTACAATTTTCAAGGGTGTTAAGCAAAACATATCGAATTGCATTGTGTAATTTCATTTTAGTTGAAGCAAAGTTGTTGTTACACATGTAACTGGTCGGGTCATTTTGGAATACACACTGTCCGAAAAAGTGAACAAATCTCAACATTCTGACAAGAGTTGAGTCCCATGATAGTCCTACGACCTAACGTCTGATAATGTTACCCTTCAAAAGGAATCATTTCATGGAAGACCGAATGAACTAACTGTATCAAACATTTAAAAGTCTTTAATCTTTTGAAATCCTTTTTAAAAAAATAGTGGAATTTCAGTCTAGAAAGAATTGTATCAGCAATGCAATGGGAAATTCTTTTTCCAATAAAGCAATAATAATTTCAAGGAAATCTCACATTGATCGTTAATTCTTACAGCCGACTTCAGAATTGCAAATTCTTGACATCCCCCATTCGACTTGTCACTTTAATAAGAAAAAGAATTAACCGCATAAATTTGATGAATTGCCATTTATCATGACTTGGTCTGGAGTTTTAAAGATATACCCTCAAGAGATTTATCATTCCACAATCGTGGATTAACGATTATAGATTAAGATAAAACTGTGAGAAGATCGAAAATGACATTACATTGGCTGATTTTCTTTATTAAATAACTGGACTAAAAGTAAAAAAAAGAAGAAAAAAAACACTCATAACGTTTTCATATGTAGGAAAGTCAGTGTAACGAGAAATGTATAGAGAATAGGAAAAAGAGGTACTTAATTGAATAATTAAGATGAATATTTCAACTGATATGCTCATCTTTATATTTTCTTCGCTCTTAAGGGAATCGTTGCAATTGTTCAAAATTAAGAATACATTGAAATTGCACAGGAAGTACCAAAAATTCATTTCTTAAAAATCTCTCAATAGTTGTCTAGGATTCAGTGAGATTACAGGATGTCAGATTACGGGGTGTCAGATTACAGGGTGTCAAGCTAAGCGTCTTCAGGTCGCGTATATGCTATAAATTACACATAAAGATATCAAGGTTACAGAGCATGAATACTGAGCTTTACATAAGAATGCTTACTGAAAGTAGCTTTCCTCAGAACAACTTACACCATATGACATTGTATTTTAAATATATGAGCACATTATATACAAGTATATAAATCGAAATTGTGCATTATACACTTAGCTTGCTATTCGCCTTCGTTCCGACCACAAGAAAGTTTATATTTCAGTTTGTCAGTAAAATTGCTATGAAACGTTGGTGAGCAGTGTGGCTTATAGAAGATTCTAGCTATCCTTTTACTTGATTTCAATCTGTTAATTTTTTGAAGCCTCAGGCCCCAGGGCCATAAAACTTAGATGAACTCACTTTTGATCTCAGTCTCAATTTTTCACAATATATTCCTTTTGTAAAAGTAAGGCTGAGATCAAAAGTGAGCTCGTCTAAGTTTGATTAGTTCTTGTGTACTGTTGAATTACAATTTCCAAGATATTCGAAGGACTCTCCATCTAAGACTCTCCATTAAAAACGCGTTCGTGATTTAAAACATGACCCTAGATTTCTTCCTGCAAATTAAAGGTAATTTAGAAGTCAACATGTAATTTAAATTTCTTGATTTTACAAAAGATGAATGATAAGTCTGAAGTTGTTTTGAACAGTTTCTTACCATCGACCTCTTCCGAAAGGTAGAGTGGATGGTCCCGGTCTGTTTGGACAGGTATAACTATTCGGACATGAGCAGCTCATCAAACTGAAGTAGTTGTCTCTGGGAAGTTCCATGAGCTCTGTACAGACAGCATTCTCTTCGCATACAGCTGATTCTAATTGTTCCTGCTAAACCATTAAAATGTTTGAAAATAGAAGTACATAGTTAATTATCTCCCTATAACATAGAAATTTTAAACAATTCATTAAAATTACTCAAAAACGTTGATTTGACTTTAATATATATCTCAATTTGAAAAAAATTACATTTATTCGAAACGTCCGAATGACATTAAAATTCGTAAGAAACTACTTGTAAATATTTATTAGTTTTAAAGTTAATTTAAAACTCATGACATTAAGATAAAAAGTCTTATTTTGGATTGTAAGTAATAGTCAATCTTTGTGATCTTATGAATCTCTCTCTCTCTCTCTCTCTCTCTCTCTCTCTCTTTGCTGGCATTTTGAGCTGGATTTTAAGCTGATTAATGTTTTGCCTTATTTGGAAAAATTCAAATCAGAAAAAAGAATTGAACAGAAAATGAACAGGTGCCGCAACCCATACCGAAATTATATTTATGTAATGTTCCATGAACTACTTTTAAAATGTGTCATGAGATGTTTTTAGGATAAGCCGTTCACTTATTATTAATGGTGAGGAAAGAAACGCAAAAATATAAAGCATTGTGTTTTAAGGATAAATAATACAAACAATTTTTTAAAAAACCAGCAATATTTCTCATAGATTTATATTCAAATAGTAACCAGAATAATATTTGCCAGGTGAAGTGGGAGAATTTTGTAAGATTTTGTCACAATGTAAAAACGTGTACAAAGTTTTGTATAGAATTACATAGAAAACAACAAAAAATCGCATATCTAAATACCAAAGACAACTTACGATTTCTTTATATTTTAGGGATTTATTATTTATGTCATTTCGTATCAAAATAAGTCAAAAAATATATATCAACCCATGCATCAAATTTTTGTTTGTGTAATGTATCCTTGATTCATTAATTTTACTTTATCAAGTTTACATAATTATCCATCGTTAAATTCAAAAGCAATATAAACATTACAGAAGATATTTATATGTTAATTTCATTTTGTTGCCAAACGAATAATGAAGGAATTAATAAGAAATATGAAATGTGTCAGGTAGTATATTAATTTATGTCCATTTTAATATTTCTCATCTTTTTATTTTTTGGTAAGATGCATTTTCATTAATATATTTTCTACTTTGTAGACTCACAGCACCGTTTCTTATTAGGCAAAACTACCTAATTCCCCTACACAACATAGAGGTGCCTTTAAATCATTGTTAGTGTACATAGTATGTTTTTCACAATTGATTTTGTTTTTCCTCCAATTTTTCACTGCAACATTTTGCATTTTTTCTCACTGACATTTATTCCTTAAATATGGTTTCTGTTTATTGTTTTTTCGTACCTTGCTTTTTTTCCTTCATTATTTTGAATGGTGCTTCAACCTTTAGCTTGATAATTTTTCTATGCACCACTTTTATGTCAGTTAAGATTGACGTTGAATTTATTTGGGTTTTTGTGACAGTATTAAGGATGGGAAACCCTGTTGTGTAATACATTAATATCTTGCATTGCTAGTCAATGAACAAGATAAATAGTGTAGTTTTTACATAAACTACTGTAAAAAGTATTAAATTAAACGGTGTTTTCTATTTGGAACATTTGACGGAAATCAATTTCCGCTTAATCATGTCTTGTATATATTTATAGACATTCAGAAAGCGCTAAATCAACTAATCTGCTTGAAAAATCAATTTCTTCCAAATGTACAAGCTTAATTTAACACCTTTACAGTATTTTATTGTCACTGATTGAATTGAAAGTAAGAAGTTTCGTGCACAAGTTTTGCAGTCCTTGCTGGATTATATTTATGCTATATACTAATTCGGGGCTGTATTTTATACTGATTTTCTAAATCAATAAAGGGATTAAAAAGCAATTTTATTTCCTTGTCTTAGTTATTATTATTATTTTAATATTTTTTGCTTATTCCGGATGGTTTATAATGGAAAATGTCTTCCCATTAACCATTTTACTTTCATGCATTTTAAAAAGAAATTCTCTTTTCTTCTGAAGGCTGACATTTTTGTAAATGTCTCGAAATGATCACAAATTGAATACAACATTCATTTCATGATGTGTATGGAAATGTTAGTTTATGACATTGATATTGCGAAATACCCGTCGGTAAGCATATCTGCATAATCATTTTCAAGAAAAGACATTTATTGAAGGAAAGAAAACAGGGAAATGTATCCGGGCACCTTGTTTAAATGTTTCTTTGAAAATAATAGCTCAGTAAGAATTTTCCTCAAATGAAATTTAAAGATCAATTTAAAACGCATTATAGCTACTTTTTCTACTTCAGAATGTTCTTATATGTAGGTGTATTTTTTAAATACCTAAATTCAGAAATACCTCCTGAATTGGTATAAAAAATAAAAACAGAAATAGCGATTCACCTTAAAAGGACTAAATTATTTAATTGCAACCCCATTTTCAAGTTTGACACTGATACATGAAATATAGTGGATTACAAAGTAAACATTTTACCACACAACCGTTTTTTTCTTTTTTAAAATAAATACATATTTTCAATATTTTCCTATTCAATATGAACATTTCTTGAAATCCTGTTGCTTCAAAAATTTATTAGTACTTAAATTTATGCACACCCCATTCAGGAATGAAAATTGTCACAAGGCAAATTCACGATAAAGGAATAACATTTAAATTTATTCTAAAAAGAAAATATCAAAGACGGAATTTTGCAGATCAAAAAATGGCGATGGCAGACAATTATTTCAATAGCCCTCAGGCTCTTCAGCATAATTAAGAACAAAATTTTCAGGTCTCATTTTAAACTGGATAACTTGAAAACTTCTAAGGCTGAGAATGCAGTGGTAATTAAATGGAAAAGGAATAAAAGGTGAAAGCTTCTTTTTTGTGGAGTAATTCATTTAAGAAAAGAGTTTATTTCCCCATTTTTCCCATCTACATTAAAAATAATAATTCTAATTTTGACAAATACTTAATCAAGTTTTAACTTTCTGTCTTTAATAAATATATAAAAAGTAAAAAAAAAAATCAATGGGACTTAATTTCTGATACAATACAATATATTGTATTCTTCTAGTATACTTCCCTTATGTATATAGTAGTATACACTAGATCAATAGAGACAGCTAAATTTAAAAAAAAAGTTTGGGAAAACTAAATATTAAAAATCAACCATATCTTAGAAAAAATTGTTTTGAATTTGAGGGGGGGGGGGGGGTTACTAGTAAATATAAGCCATCTTTTGGCTGATACCAGAAGGATGTCAGCTTGAAATTTACGTACATCCCTCAAAATTCTTCTAGATTGAAGAAGATCTTACTACCGCTAAAATATTTGAAACATTTGAAAATATTTGAAACTCCTTCGATATTTTTAATATTCTCAACAATCAAAATGATTTTTAATTACCATACTTATACTGGATTTCAAAACTCCATAAAAATTCTTACAATTAATCAAAGATACATAGCGGCTTCCAGTAAATGTTCTACCAAGCCTCTTTCTTTCCTCCTCACTAAAATATTTACAGCGGTGAAGGAGAAACTTCAAGAATACTGTACAAGAGTATATTCCAGAAGTGGCGTAAATCAGATGTGGATATTTAAAAACTCAAAGGAACTCTTAGAAAATTTGAAATCACAAAATTTTACCAAAACCAATAACATATAAACGTACGACTTTTCAACACTTCATACAACCATTCCCGTCGCCCGAGTGGCGCAGTGGTTAGAGCGTTTGCTCTAGAGTCGCGAGGTAAGGAGTTGATCCTTACGTCGCGGGTTCGAATCCCACTGCGGGACGTGGAGACCGGTCCTTCGGATGAGACCGTATAAACCGAGGTCCCGTGTCGCAGTAGGTGCTGGCACGAAAAAGATCCCTCACTGCTCAATGGCCGTAAGTGCCGAGTATAGGACAAAATTTGCAGCTCTCCACCGGCAAGTGGTGGCGTCTCCATATGAGTGAAAAATTCTCGAGAGGGACGTAAAACAACATACAAACAAACAAACAACCATTCCCCACGATAAATTAAAGTCCAATCTTTTCGACATCATATACAGCTGCTTTTCTTCAGTAAAAATGAAACTCGTAAATCAACTTACCTTGGTATTGGTCATTTGCAAAATTGTTTTGTTAAAAAATAAATATTCTGATTGTACACACAAGTACTCTGAAGTTGATATTAAAAAGATGCTTTGAGTTTCTGATTGACAATATCTATGTAGTTTTTGTAGATCAGGTCTTCCAACAACCTGTTGAAATTTCTATTGGTACCAATTGCGCCTCGTTATTAGCAGATCTATTTTGGTATTCATATGAAGCATAGTTTATTCAAAAACTTCTCTCATTAGAAGAAAACACTTGCTATGGCCTTCAACTCAACAATTAGAAATATTGACGGTGTATTTTTCAATATTAACAATAGTTGCTTCCATTGACATGTCGATTCGATGTATCCCAGTGAACTTGAAATAAAGGGCACCTCAGAGTCTGACACATCTGTTTCATATTGAGATATTTTACTAGAAAAAGACGTTAATGGTAACCTAACAACAAAACTTTATGATAAACGTGATGATTTCAACTTTTCTATCGTCCACTTCCCTTACTTATACAGCAAATACCCTTATCACCTGCATATGGAATTTATGTCTCTCAGTTGATTCGATACACAAGAGCATGCTCTACGTACGAACAATTTCTAAAACGAGACATGCTATTGATAAACAAATTGATGAAACAAGGATATCAACAGTCTCGTTTAAAGTCATAATTTCGCAAGTTCTATGGTAGATACAATGACCTTGTCAGCAATACAATCTATCATTAAGTAAAATGCTGACAGACGTTTTTCATACTAATTGTTAGACCATTATTTACAAACTGAATTGTCTACGGATTTTTCCGTTTTTCTCGATCATTACAAGGAGCACACGGCGGGTGTGACCGGTCGGCAGGGTTTACTCACTCCTCCAGCTAATCCTGCGTCCGATGTTTTTGGAGGTCTCTTTTTGCTCTGCTTCCGATTGGTATTGTTTAAATTGACTATCAGCTTGAAAACTGTTCGTTACCTCCATTTTTCATTCATTAATGTAAAGAATGGATATGATTTATTTATTTCTTTTTTCTTACCATCAACAAAGTTTATATTATTTTTTAATTTTTTTTAGATTTCATTTTATTTTGATCTAACAGTCTTTTAACTAACCAGTACAATTAATTTAAATATCCTAAAAATAGTGGTAAAATACCAATTATACAAAGGTCAGAATCAAAGATTTACTAGGGAATTGACATTGAAAAGTGGGAGTATTGGAATCTAAATATTTCTATAAGTCATCAGTGTAATCCAATTCATTAATCAAGTCTTATACTTTTGCCCTCGATTGTATTAACAACTGAACGTACTGTAATCGCAGACGCCAAAAAGTAGCTGTAAAGCACAAATAACGGTTTAAAAATGCATGGCAGACTGATTCCATGGCCGTTGGGAAGAAACTATTTGCAGAAATTATCACTTTTATGTCAACATTTATTGAATGTTATTGAATGCATCACTAAATAGAAAGTACAAGCTATAAATCAAAATATATGGAGTTCATCAGCAGATCATTCAACACAAGGTTAAGAAAATGGCCTTGAAGAAAATCAAAAATAGCCATGAACTTCTGGAAATTGATTTTTTGAATGAATTGTATGACCTCTAGCGTCGTTTCAGAGTAATTTCCTTATGAATATTACTTCCTGTCTTGTGGTACATGTATGAGAAGAAAGGGTTCATAAATTGTGCTTGATAAACGTTGTGGCAATAGTCAGTCAAACTGTAACTGAAAATCGTAACCTTGAAAATGTGAAAAAATAAAGTAATTGAGTTATGTTCTTTGCAATTTTTGTTATTAGTATTTTTTTTTTTACTTTTCTACAGCAATAACAAATAACACACTTCTGAAACAGGGAACTTTCAGAAAGGACGGGAAATTTTAGTTATATTCAATGGACGTAAACACTAGTAAGGTATTTTTTGTAATAGTCTATAGATCTTATACATTGTTTAGATTCAATATTCCGCAATTCTACGCGATTTAAGAATAATGATACATAAAATTCGTAAGTTCAATAAGGTCAAAATCTTAAGCAGAAGTATTAATTAATTAATTAATTATACATACATTCATACATTTTACTTTGGTGTGGTCGGGATGAATATATATATATATATATATATATATATATATATATATATATATATATATATATATATATATATATATATATATATATATATATATATATATAGGAAACAAATCAAACTTCTAAAGGAAGCACAGAAACATTATATAAATTCTAACAAAATTTAATTGCTGTAATAGTTATCAAAAGTTACATGTAAAAGTATGTAAAAGAACTGTCTTTTAAATCTTTTAAGAAATATTTATCTCCTTCCGATACATAGGAATGTGAGACATTTAAATTGAAGCGTGAACATGCACATTTATATATATGAAAAGAATTTGAAGATTAAAAAAGAAGTACTTTTTAATTAGTATGTATCTTCAATATCCAATTTGTAATAAACTTTGCAATTCATTCATATTAATGTTCTGTTCGGTTTGTATGAATAAAAAACTAGTCTTTTTCCACCATAAAAATAAGTGCTATGGTATTTTTGTTATAATACTTTTCATATAGCAGACAAATATAGCTGAATTGATTGCAATTGAAATAAAATTTGATATTTCTCCTTTTTTTATTAGTATGAATCTTCAATACCCAATTTGTTATAAACTTTGTTATTCATTTATGTTTATGTTCCGTCAGTTTGGTCAGAAAAAATTTAAAAGAAAAACTGGACTTTTTTCAACTAAACACCAAAGTTGTAAACATTAAATCCTTTGGCATATTTATTATAATACTTTTCATATAATCAGACAAATATCGCTCTATCTTTGATGGCAATTTAAATAAAAAATTATAAATCCTTTTTTACTAAATCGATATGATATTTCATAAAAAAAAACTCTGAATGCAGATAGAATATCTTAGAATGATAAGACAATTACCTGGTATCTAATGATTGTCTCTGAGCGCACCTGTCGCTGGATGCCAAAAAAGACTATAACACAGATGCAAAGCGTTCTCATACTAACATACATCCCTGTTCTGAACTCATGTAAGGTATCAAAGACACAACACGTCCCTTATAAACTTACTTCTCACGTCACTAAATCGCCAACACCGTGCCTCCTTTTATATCGATTGAAAAATGACATTCAAAATAAACACCTCCTGGATTTTAGAAAATTAAATTGAGACGTAGCATATACAATTTTGTAAGCATAGTAATCATATATGCATTACTTTTTCTGATCATCGCCTAGCGACATATTTTTTTTTATGTGAAAGCCTTTTTTTTCAGTCCGAGGCATTGGTGATACTGGGTTGCGTATATATGAATCATTTTGCTTTCTATCCATAAAAAATCAATTTCTTTTAATCAAATTCTCAATACGTTTTCATCTAAAAAATTTTCTTGTGGAGAAACTGTTTTTTGGATAAAGATATTTTAATACCTTTCGAGTTTTTGCTAAGTGGTTTAAAATTTTTTAAATCTTAAATGAATGTTCTTTATATAAAAATGATAATTGAAATAAAAAGAATAAATTAAGCGAAAAAGTGTCAGTCACTTTTGTTTATTAACTTACCAGTTCTACAGGAAATAAGTTGTATTTACAATATAGTTTTCTTTCCTAACTATAGTTAAGTAAGCTTTTCATATATGAATTAGACATTCCTTGCTTTAGGTTCCCTGTTCATGATAATTTGGTATAATGTTTTAAACATTTTTCACTGAATTAGTTAGAATTACAACTTCGGCAGTTAGGAAACACAATACATAAATGTTTGGAGGCCTATTTAAGATTCAAACTAAATGTTCCAAAAAATGAAATATATAGGATAGATTACTCAATAAAATATTTCCATATGAGAGTTTTAAATCATAAATACGTTTTCGATTGAAAGCATTCATCCTTTTGGTTTCAGTTGTTTTTTTCAAATTCCATATTTTCAAAAACACTCTTTTAAAATGCCATGTTATTTATTACAAGTCAAAATCAGCACATTGGTCAGAAACCAATGATCCACAGTTAGAGATAGTAAATCTCGAAGTAAATTTCGGATCCAATGCTAAGATCTCTCTTGCTTATACTTTTTAAGTTAACAAACTATGCAGCCATTCTCTTTGTTATTAGTATAAAGCCATTCTCTTTGTTATCAGTATAAAGTGAAAACATGGAAGCCTTTTTAAAGATAATTTTCCAAAAAAAAAAAGCTTCAATAAAAGCGAAGACCTTTTACATTCGTATATTTACATTTCAAAATTTGTTTCTTTGAGTTCACTGGTAAAACTAAAATGCAGAGCTCAAATCATTGTTTGTTACAATTAGTGCGTCATCAAAGAACTACATTTATCTGAACTACATTTAATACGAATTCGGAAAAAAAAAATGCACATCTACTAATAAAATTTTGCAATGAATAGATGCTAATGGTACACAGGTAAATATATTTTATTAATCTGATACGAAGACATCGTGTTTAAAACAAATGCCAGAGTTTCTCCTCATATTTGCTAACATAACATGGTTTTTGGACTTTCTCATAGACGAGATATGTGGAAATTCGTGTCGTATTTTTGTTTTTTAATTTGGTTTTAGTTTCTGAAGAAATATATGAAAATTCTAAAAATTAAGCAATCGTTCTGAAGACAATTAAATCCTCTTCGATACATTTATATCTTCCAATATTTCTAATAGATATTGATAAATAATATTTATGAGCAAACATATCAGGGACCGAAATTGATTAATGCCTCAAATGATGGATATTAAACTTGAAGGTAAGATATTTGATTGTTCTTGTTTTGTTTGATTTTTTTACCTGATTTTCTTCTTTTGTTGGATTCTTTTTATTTATTTCGTGTTTTTGTTTGTCTGTGTTTTTGCTAAACCAAACTAGGTTTCGTTTTACCATCACAATGATATTTTTTACCAGACATCTGCAATTTTGTCGCTTCCAATTAAACCCTTTGTCCTTAGATTGTTATTATCAATATACAGGGATTTTACATGTAAAGATTAAAAAAGAAAAATGCACAATTTGTTTTTGCTAGCGTGTTTAGTCTTAATTAAGTTTTTCTTTGCTTTCTTTTAAATTAAGAGGTTTAGAAATTCATAAATGGCCAACTGAAACAAAATTCCAAAAGAATATGTATCATGAAGTAATTGAATTTTTACTCATTTAGTAGACGTGTATATTTTTAAAATAAAAACATATTTATATAATCACTGAAACTATACAATTCTTTCGGTGCTTTCTGTATTATATGTTTTCATACAAAATATATGCTATTCACTACTTATGTAATATGAAGATAATGAATAGTGCATGATCATTCTAAAAGGTCCATTTAAACAGTACAAATTATAAACAGATCCAGCAAGAACCTCTGAAAACAAAGGTGGGGTCAGGTGCATGGAGAAGTAAGCATACCCTGTCGACAGGACACACCCACCGTTTGCCCCTTATCATGATCAAATAAACAGAATTTAAACATGAAAAGAATGGCCTAACAATTTGTATGAAAAACGTCAGTCAACGTTCGATCGAACTACATACTGTATTTGCAAACAAGGTCATTGTTTCGACTATAGAATTTGCGAAAAGTCGATTTTAAACGAGATTGTTGATATCCTTGTATCTTCTTGTATCTTCAGGTTATTTGTCAATAGCTTGCCTCGTTTTAGAAATTATTCGTACGTAGAACATGCGCTTGCGTATCGAATCAACCGGAAGGAATAAACTCCACATGCATTTTGCTATATAAATAAGGAATGTTGATGAAAAATAAGGTTGAAGTCATCAAGTTTATCTCAAAGTTCAGTTGTCAATTTGTCATCAGTGTCTTTTCTAGTAAAACATCCAAATATGAAAAAGACGCGTCAGACTCTGTGATGTCTCTCATTTTGAGTTCAGTGGGGTATAATGAATCAACGTAGGAATAAAACTGTTGTTAATAGATAAAACGTCGTCGATATATCTAAATGTCGAATTGAATACCACGGCAAGAGACTTTTCTTTTATGAAGAAGTTTCTGAATAAATCCTGCTCCATATGAATATAAAAATAGGTCTGCTAAAATGGGGCACAATTAGTACCTATGGAAATCCCAACAGATTGTTCAAAGACCTAGTCTCCGAAAACCACATATATATTTTAAATCTTTTTAAAATTTAAAAAGTCATGCATCTTTTTAATACCTTGGTGTTACTGTGTGCAGAATGAGATTTTTTTTAACTAAAAGTAAATTTGCAAAATAAGTTTGCTGAAGACCAGTGACAAGGTATGCAAATTTATGAGTTGCATTTTTATTGAAGAAGAAGTTGTCTATGATGTCAAAAAGTCTGACCTTGAATTTTTCTTGGGGAATTGTTGCATAAAGTGTTAAAAAGTGGTACGTTTTGATGTTATCGATTTTTGGTAAAATTTTGTGTTTTCAAATTTTCTAAAAGTTCTTTGATGTTTTTAAGTATCCACATATCTGATTAACATTACTTCTCGAATATGTTGTTTAGTATTCCTGAAGTTTTTCCTCCACTGCTGTTAGTATTTCCGTGAGGAGTAAAGAAAGAGGCTTGGTCGAACATTTATTAGAACCCGCTATATATCTTTGTTTGTAAAAAAAATTTATGTGTTAAGGAATCCAGTATAGGTGTGGTAATTCAAAATCAATTTGGTTGTTGGGAATGTTAAAATAAGTAAATGTAATCTTTGTTGTGAAGCACTTAATAAAACACATCAAATTTCAAAGACATGAATATTTATAGAAAAGACCAACTGGGCGACCTCCCCCAACTTCTCTATGGTTTTAGCTTGGTCAACACACTTAATTGAAGAAATAAACAATTGAAGAAAGTTTTCTCGACATTTTAAAAGCAAATTGAAAAGACAGAGGCAATAGTAAAAGCAAACTGTAATAATTAAGCAAATTATCATTTTTATTATTCTACGGTTTGTCTTTACCAGTAGTTTTTCAGTAGTCATGTGCATGATATTTCTATTCTCAGACCAAGGTGTGGAAATATGACAATGTATAAGCAATTTTCAGTTTCATTTTTTTAGTTCTCTCTGAATATTGCGTCTTACATATAAATTAAATGTTAAATATTTCCATTTTTGTTAAAATACAGATTATTTTTGCCGGAAGACTCTATCAGGAAATTTTATGTAATTGTAAGCATTTTTCCATTAGTTTTATCTATTATTAATCAAATTATTATTAATAATCAAAAGAAATTAATAAATCTTTCAAAAGAATATGATTTATGCTAGTTTTGGAACTGTTATACATGTATTTTCCATGATTTATGCATTGTAAATCTATACTTCTCATTTTTGGATTAATTAACTTTGACAAACACCTTCTTAATGTGTTTCCTCTTATTTATTTCAGTCTTAATTAATTGAATTAACACAGCATAAATGTAAACGAATAAATGATATTTGGCCCTAATTCGTGTTTGGATTTCGGAAAATCTTCTTTAAAAAGCTCCCTACATTAATTCGATAACTATTATGTTTTTTTTTTCTTTTCAATGTTAAAAAATGTTAAAATTGCTTTGTATTCTATCAGGTAAAAATTGACAAATTTCAATTTTACCTACGTATTCTATTATTCAATTTTCTTTAATTGTGTTTAATTTTTACAGATAAATATCAAATCTGATCATTGCATTTTTTATACAAAACGTATTGTTAATGGTTTTCTTTCGTTGGAAACCCATTAAAAACTTATTTAAAAATACAGAATTGCGCACATCTGTTTGAAAATCCAAGTCAATCAAAAACTCAAAAATTTCAACCTGCAAAGAAATTAATAAAGATTTCAGGCATTCATAAATAAAATATGTTTCAATCAGAGTGTATTCTCATTTCTTTACCATTTGCAGTGATTAAAGATTACATTTTGTATACGTGCATATATTTTTCATTTTATGTATCTGATCAAAAGGAGACTTGAAATAATGGCTTCGAAAAATATGTTTTCTTTCAAAATATTTCGCATTGTGTTGTTTTCGAAATATGTACATGTAAGCAAAAATCAATCCATAAAATTGGAAACAGTTGTTTTGTTGATGCAGAAT